AATTCCTCATCACCCAGGGGAGAAAAGAAACCTGACTGGCTGGGGGGCTGCATCCTCCATCACCGAGGGCTCGGTCCAGCCCCCTGTAGACAGTGACACTACCTTAAAGGTTTACCCTAAAGATTTTACCGTGGTTTCTGTCCCCTACAGCTCACCTGATGGATGCGGGGGACCAGCTCACGGCTGGCCATGGAGCCCCACAGCCAGATCCCTCCTTTCAGCATCCCAACACCGTGCTCCCCATGAGCTGCCAGACCCCTCGTCCGCTCTCAGTCTTCCCCATGCAGCCACTCTGCTGACTCAGGACAGTGGGGGACTTCGCCCCCGCCAGCTTCAGCACAGCCTCTAATCCCAGGCTTAACTTTAAGCCCGGGTTTGGGTCCCGTAGAGGACAGCAGGCTTCTCCCACCAGCAGAAAGCAGTCAGACACCCCAGACGAGGTCATGGCTGAGTTACACTGACCCTTTCCAGGGATGGTGGCGGGGTGGAAAGCACTGTTTTAATTAGGGTTGCTAAATGGGCTTAAATCCATGCACTTGCAGGGTTTTCTTGCCCGAAAACTAAGCATGGAGGCTGCAGAGATAAGGACTGCTAAGGGGGGAGCTGGGGAACATCACTGCTTTTCAAGGCTGAACGCTTATTTTGCACATCAGTGTGGTGCCAGAGCCTCTCCACATCACCAGCACATCGGGTCTTGGCCACCCCTTGTCTGTTTTTATTTTTGGAGAAAGAAACCACTTGCTCGACACCAAACTGGAAGCTCTTTCAACCCATAGTGGTGGTGTTTCATCTTTAATGAAAATGGCTTTTACTGAGGTGCTTGATGTACCAAAGCACCCCGCTCTGCCCCGCTACCAGACATCCAGCCCTGCACGAAGTATCTGGGGGCAGGGACCGATGGGAGAGGCAGTCTGCTTAAAAGATTAAAATATCTTCTTATTCAGAGGCCAAACACGCAGATGCAGCTCAAGCACCAGGGACCGGCGGTGTGGCTGTTCCCCTCTGAAGCGGGGACGGAGGGGGGTGACACAGCTTGGACACGTCTGCATCCCTGGCAGGGAGCAGGTCCCCCCTAAACCCCACCAGAGCAGGGATGCTCAGCGGTACCCCCCGAAACCCACGGTCCCTGGCTTCAGTCCTCTCCGAGCCCCCGCGGCGATGGGGCACCCACCTTCAGCAGCACCGACCGCACCCACCCCAGGGAGGAATTTATGAGTGGAGACAGGGGAGGGGGAAAAATACACCCAAGCCAAGAAAACCTGCCCAGACAGGGAAGTGAAAACCCCAAAGATAGCGCTCCCACTCTTTCACATCGGGGCTTTCAGTAATCACAGCTGCTTTCACTTCTCCTTTGACCCTCCGCCTGTTCCGCCACTGGTGGGTTTTGGTTCCTCTCTGCTCCCCCCCTGCCTTCCCCCTTTCGAGGCCGAGCCTTCAAACCGTTTCAGCTTTAATTTCCAGTTTCTAAACCGCAGGGGTGCTGCCCGTTTCCATGTCCCGCGCTGGTCTCTGCCCGGCTCCTGAGCCACGGTCCCCTCCGAGGAGCTGGGGACACGATGGGGGTGGGGGATGATGCTGCAGCCATGCCAGGATCTCTCCCCCTGCCCTGGTCCAGCTCGGGTGGATGCTCTGGGGGAGGATGGATGCTGGGTGAGGGGAGGAAGAGAGGGGTGAGAAATAAGAAGCAGAGCAGAAGGTGCAGCTCTCTTCCTCTGTGGCTTTGCCCAGATCTTTGACTTCTAATAAAGCCCCAATAAGTACAACGATTTTATTATTATGTTTTAAAGAATCAGCAAACAAAGCTGGCACTGGAGGGAAGCGCAGGGCTTTGTTCTGCTTTTGGTAATTTTAGTGCCGACGCATGCAAACGCTGGCGAAGGGTCAATATTGACTTTCTGCTGAAGCAACCAGCAGGGTTCATTGACTGGAGGTGTACGGGTGCCCCAGCTGCACCAACCTCCCTCCGGGCCGCACCCTGAGAATCCTTCCAGCCAAGAGCAACTTCGCATCAGTGCGAGAAGCGCTGCTGTGAATTCCATCCGCCCAGGGCGGAACGAGGGCCCAACGTGCCCCAGGGGGGGCGTGTGGGATGCAGGGGGTCCCCGGGGAGGCTGCAAGGGCAGGCTGCAGGCAGGACCTCCCTCCCAAGAGGTTTACCCCGAGCGGAGTAAGGGGCAGAGGTCTGCTTGCGCCTCAGCACCCTCATCCTGGCAGGTCTCTCTGACACACAAACCCACGGCTTTCTCAGCCCCGTGGTCTTCCCTCGCCTCGGTGAGCGCCCAGATTTTGCTGCCTTTATAAAGGGGCTGCCTTTAGCCAGGTCGTGACCTGTTTGCGCAGGGGTTGATGTACGTGAGGGCAGCGGGAACTTGCCCGCGGGCAGCCACTGGGTCAGGGATTTCCCCGCCACCCGCCACCCCCCCCCCCCACCTCCCCGTCGTCGAAGGAAGCCTCGGCACAGCGTCAGCTGCCCCCTCCACGTGTCTGGCGGGCACATGGCTCTGCCCGGCCCAGCGAGGGGACAAAGGGACGATGCTTCCCTCGCTTCGCCGCTCATGCAAGAGCTCGCAGCCACGGGCTGGGATTGCTCCCAGTCCCCACGCCGGCTCCTCGGCCTCAGGGAAGGGGGGCAGCGGTCTGGAGGGCCGGTCGCAGCCCCGCGAGGGTCCGCAGAGCGCGATCAGCACTGGGCAAACGCAACAGCTCAAGGTCGGAAATTATTTCCAGTTACAAAGCTTGGCTGACCCGTGCCGGCGGAAGTTTGCCTGGAGCCATCCCATGGCTGCAGCAGATTTGGGGGATGAAAACCTGGGCAAAGCAAGCTGTGCTTTCCTGCAGCAGGGATGGGTGGTTTCCAGCTATTTTTTCAGGCACACGTTACCATTTTTCCCCTTTTTATGCCTGATTCGCCCTCCGAGGGCTTCTGCCAGCCACAGGCTGGGCTCTCTACCGGCCACATTCCTTCAGGTTGACGTGGCTTTTCTTTCTTCCCCCATCCTTATCACGCTCGAGTTCATGAATCATATTTCTCCAAAGCTATAAACCACCCAAGCGACCAGTGTAAATCAAGCAAGACAGAAAGCAAAGTCAGGCACGGGGGTTCGGGCCACTCCAGGGGCACAACTTTCCTGGGGAAAGGCTCTTCCAGCCATGCAAATATAAATCCCTTTTATAAAGCTTTTATCGCTGTGCTTGGTCCCCCCCCAAGGCCACGAATTCTGCTTTCCCTTGTGCTGGCGGTGGGGAGACAGGGTGGCACGCTGCCTGCCCTGACACGCGCGCCCGCCGTGCCGGCGGCACTGGAGGGAGGATGTGGGGGGATTTTCCGGATCCCCTGGGATGCTCATCCCTCCGCAGCCCCATGCGGGCAGCCCGGAGCCGGCACCGGCCACCGATAACTTGCCGGAGGCTGCACGCCCTCGGTCCAGGGGCTAGGAGCCCGCCGGGCCCTCCCAGCTTTCAGACCGAGGTGTCTTTGGAATCGCACCTGACGGAGCCTCCGCGGCAGAGCCTGTCTCTCTGTGCTCCCTCCAGAGAGCCCAGGAGCCTGTGGTCAGGAGCAGATTGATTTTATCTTAACTGCAATGACTACACGCCTAAAAGTCGCCTTTATTCTCCATCTCCTTGGCCAGCACGAAGGCTTTCTGTTGGTCTGTCCCCTTTATCCGCTGTTTTCTCTCCAGAGAGTCAGAAAAGCGAGTTACGATGCCAAAGCCAGGATTCCCAGAGAAACAAATCCCAGTCTCCGTCTGAAGGACAACATGACATCCCACGAACAAAAACCCGGGCAGGGAACTGCCCCGATAGGATTATTTCTCTCCCCTCTCTGTGCACCTCTGAGCATCTTCAGCCCTTGCATGACTTCCAACAAGCACAGAAACCCTGAGCAGCACAGCCCCGGGGAATCCAAGCTTCTAATTAAGCTCAATTACTCCGGGAAACAATTTTTAAACCATCCACCGAGGCTGCTGGCCAGGGCAAGAACACTGCACCTGCAAGTTTTAATTGCAAGGTTGTCACCTGCCGAAGCCAAGCTATCAGTGTAGTTGGTGCCAAGGAGTCTGTGCCTGAGCGGTGCCGGGTCCTTTGGCACCGGCCTTATCGCAGGCCGGGGTGGCTCGCTTGCTTTCTAACGTCTCCCGAGCCGGGAGGGCTGGCGAGACAGAAAAACCCCATGCAGATGGAAAGCAAAACCATGAGGGCAGGGGTTGGGACTGCCGCAATCCCTTCGGATCCCTTCCTCCGGCTCCGCTTGCAGCAGGAACACCCGACGCCCAAGGGCAAGCAGAGCAGGAGCCTCGATGAACCAGAAATAAGGAAACTGAATCCAAAAAAATCTCAAACCGTCTCCCCGGCATAGATACAGCGCTGACCCCTCAGAGAGCCCGGGAGATCCTCGGTGCTGCTGGTGGCACCAGCGGGGCTGTGGGACCTACAGAGACTCGCAGGGAGCAGGATTTGCAGCTACTCTCAGTTTAACCTAGGAAAAGAGAGGTCAGGGGAGTGGGAACATCACTGCCGTCCGTCCGAAGCAAGGGAGGGTTAACAGGAAGGCAAGATGGTGCCCTGCAAAGGCCCCAACTCATCGATGGGCAGGTTAAAGTTAAACACGTATGATTTTATAGCGACCTCTCTCACTGCTCGGTGCTCGCCCTGCATCTCTCTCAGGGCATAATGGGGTGACCTTGAACGGACACGCTGCGAGCTCGGGGCGGACAGGATAAAACCCAAAGCCAGCTTTCTACAGCGCAGTGGGTTACAAATCGGTGGATCAGCAGCTCCTCTGCTAACAGCAGCAGTTTGGAACCTGAGACCTAGGAAGCATCTCCCTTTTCCACTAGAAAAGCACTTGCCCATCACACAAAGGGAGGTTGCGAGTCGCCAGGCTGAGGCTGGGGAGGGGCTGCGGCACTGCCGAGCTCACCAGGGTCCAACAGCAATCCCTCGCTGCCGTAAATCTTGCAATCTCTATACAATCAATAACGAGTCTGGCAATCACCTTGTAAACCTTGCGGAAGGAAGATTCGCTTCTCAGGGCTTTATTTGGGCATTCCGAATTCTGCCAGAGCAGGGGAAGCCCACCTGTATGAGCATCCCCGTGTCCTCACTTGCCACCACCAGTCCGTCACCCCTTGGCAGCCATCGCCCTCTCCCAGCACCCGGCCCCGCTGCGGTTGGGGGAAGAGAGAATAAAAATAAAAAAAAAAAAAAAAAAAAAAAAAGCTTCCTGCCACCCCGCGCTTTCGAAGATCCGAAGCAGGCGGCGTCCCCGCTCGCCGCGGAGGTGCGAACCCCGCCGCCCAGCTCGCTGCAGGCAGGTGTCAAATCCGGAGCCCCGGCGCGCGGAGCCGCTGCAGGCAGGCTCTGGAGAGCAGGCGCGTCGCGGGAACAGGACTGCTTGAAATCTGAAAGCGGGGAGGTTTCATCACTTTTTTTTTTGGAGGGGGGGGGTGGTGTTTGGTTTGTTTTGCGATTTGAGTTTTTCCTGGAAGATGTTCACGTGGCTTCACGCTTGCTGCGGGACAAAGGCGTGGGATGGGGCAGGCACGGGGGATGACGCACCTCCGGAGGGGCTCGACGTCCGGGGAGCCAGCTCCTGAGCAAAGCACCGTGCTCGGAGTCAGACCATCCGGATGCAAAGCGGCACCACGGCACCTCCATCCTCCTCCGGTGCCCCAAGGAGCCAAGCGGCAAAGGGACCGCATCAAATTTGGGATGAGGGGGGAAGCAGCTGGAGAAACGGATGCTCAGAGTCACGTCCGAGCCCAGGCAGGGCTGGGTCTAAGCACAGGAAAGAAGCAGGGCTGCTGCCTTAGCCGAGCTTTTGTCCCAGCTGTTTATTGCTCCCAAGCCAGGGCTGAAACAGTTTTAAGCAGCATGAATGAAACTGCAACGCAGCGGGTTTCACGGGGATGCTGCCTCGGTCATCAGAGTTTCACAGGAAAGCGAAAGAAAAAATCAGCATGCGGCTCAAAAAGGTGAAGGAAAAGAAAAAGCAGGCAGGCAGCATCTCGGGCCTCCCCTGCGAACCTGGAGATGTCGGCCTGTCTGCCCTGAGGAATTCAGCGCTCGACACCTCTTGGTGACCTCGGTGGCCAAGGGGAGCCCGGCCGTCCCGCTTCGGCGGCGGCGAGGCCAGCGGCGCCTCTTCAGCGAGCTCGCACAAAGCCCTGGCTGCGAATCGGTTCCTTCGCTCCTCGCCCTGAGCCTCATCCTACAAGGGCCGTGTCCCAAAGGCCCCTCCTGAAAGCCGAATGACTTGTGTGACAGCGGCCAGGGCTTCCCCCCCGCTCCTCTTTCTGCCGGTTTTTCCGCAGCCGGCGCAGCGCTCCTGCCCGCGGGCTGCCGGCGCCTGCCTCGCCGTGGGTGGGGACGCGTGCCCCGGCCAGGGGTGGAAGCTGCTCTTGCTTCAGCGCTCTGCCTCCCAAAAGGAACTTAACTGTTTCTTCTATTTGCCCTGAAGGAAGGGTGGTTTCGGCGGGGGTTTATCCCAACCTGTAACACCATCATGACCTGCCTCCAATTACAAATCGCGGCGGTTACGCAGAGGATCACTTAGCGGCACCATTAGTAGTTTCTGCAGCAGAGGCGAGACAGACCGGGGCAGCGTCCTCTACAGAGGACTTTCCTTCGTGGGTTTTTCTGCCGCTGGGATGTATTCCCTTTGTTCCCTCAGGCTCTGCTCAGCTACACATTTCTATTGCTGCCCTATAAATTTGCAGGACAAAGAATTCGCTTCCTTTATTCAGGGTTCTGTAAGTTCTTCGCGGGCCTTCATTTAAGCCTCTCAACAAGCCTGAGAAGCAATTCTGTAGTCTTGGCAGTTTCCTTCTGCCTTACAGATAAGCTCACTAAGACTGGTGTCTGCTCCGCGTGCTATCAAGCGTAAGTTCTGGATCTAAAAATGCCACGTTACCCGCTTTCTGCTGAACTACCAGAGCTCGCACTCCGCAGCATACGCCGCACGCCTTCTTGCCCGCTCTCCGGGGCCCGGAGAAGCCAGACGATACCCATCAATGTTTCTGGAGCAGCTCAAACCAGACTTGTAAAAGATGAACGCTCTTATCAAGGACATATGGTGTTTTGACCTAGTATGAGGAGCCTTACTGTCGGACTTTCTGCATTCTGTCATGGACTAGGAGTAAAGATAAGCCATTCCAACTGCACAAGATATCCACAGCAGAGCCCCAAAGACCAGTTGGAACTGGCAGAACACACACTTCTCTGTAAGCAGGAGAAACAACGTTCACTAGAAGCGTCATGGAAACCAAGAGGCATCTCTTCTGCTGCCTCCAGTAAGCTTAATGTAAGCTCCTCTGGTGGGTGGATAGCTTTCACCATGCTGAGAACATGAGCAAACAATGCAGGTCACGCCACAAAGACTTCACCACCAAAACGCAAAGTTCACGACCACAGTACCAGTACAGTCCTTTGCGTGAGCCACAGGCTCTGCTCACACGAGGATCCTTCTGCCTTGGTCCCCAGAAGCTCCGAATTCCCGGATCTCTGTCAGTGAAAGAGCCAAAAATGCGAAAGTTCATAGGTTTTTATTTGTGTGGAATAGATAAGGAAAGCAAACATACCCTGATAACCCCTTCCCTCGTGCACAGCAGTCTGAAGGTTGCCCCCATAGGCAGGATGCACATTCTGTACCAAGGCCTTAAATTTGACTGGGTCTAGTTAAAAATAAACTCTCTGGGTCAGCAGCACTCTGCTACAGCGGCATGTTCAACAGTCCCAGTTTGCTCCCATTCCCCTCTCATTCCCAAGGAAAGGCTGGACTGGGGGAGCCCTGGCTGCTCTGGCCCATGGGGTCACAGGATTTCCCAATTTTTTCATGCCAGTCAGTTAATTTTCAAGCCGAAAAGGATCATCACAGACAAAGTTTGTCTTCACTCCCTTGGGCAACACCCACCCTGGCTTTCCACAAGGGCCCAGTGTTCATTTCCTGACTGGAGCGCCCAGAGGGGTAGGTGTCATTTTGGTTCACAGTTGACGTCTTCATCCCTATCCAGTCAACAGATACAAAAGGGCAAAGGCTAGTTTGGGGACTAGATAGCTTCTTTCAGTCATTTTTTTTCCCCATCTCTGATAAAAACCACAGGCAGAGACAATGATTTAGCAATAATGTTAGGTGCAAACACCCCCCAGAGCAGCTACAAGAGGCAGTTCTTCGGGGGCAGAATTGAAAGCTCTCTTTTATCGAGTTCCCAGAGGGGAAATGCTTTTTGGTCAGTGACTCCTGCTGGCAAGGTAAAGCCAGCACGGCTACGGACCAGGCTTTGGAGAGCAGGGATGTGCCCATGCCGACATGCTGGAAGGGGCTGGCATTATCCCCATCACCAGGGCTTGCACAGCACTCTCCTCTCTAGCAGCTCCTGGGGGAACCACTGGACCTGAAATACGTCGGCAGTTCCTCCCGCGGCCTCCTCAGAGAGGAGTGCATGTGAAATACTGGGGGTTGAGCGGCCTAGCGGAACGTTGCTCCCTCTCTGCGAGATACCGCAGAGTTTTCCCACACTAAAGCAGCATGTTCTTGGCTTTGGTTTCTGCAAGTCAGCAGTGATGTACCACATTTCAGTTTGGCACCAGCTGGAAGACAACCGTTTCACTCCTTCGGTTGAAGAGCTTGCTCTAGGTATGCATGCCATCTCGACTCGGCTTCCTGTTGGTTTTATCTTCAAACCATCAGGGAGGCACACAAACACAATTCACATGCCAAACCATCAGCTCTGCGTTGGCAAGTCCCGTTCCTCAAGGATCCTTCTCACGCTCTCCACAATGGTCCACACTTCTGCCATGGCACCTCGACCTGCAGCGTGAGAGCAAAACCACACGGTGAAACCCAGGTCCCACAGAGACAGCACGAGGCACGTGCTTCCCCTGTCCCACCACCTCTCTTCTCCACACACTGCAAAGCTCGCCAAGTATCCCCAAATATTTCCTCATGACTTGCCCAACAGAAAGAAACCGTGGAGGCCAGAGGATCTGCTCAGTCCACCGCGTTCTGCAGGGGCTTTGGGACACAGTTGAATGCCATCAGGGGAGGAGAGCGAGAGGAGTATTCATGCTAACTTAGTTTGGCTCGTAACTCCGAAGTCTAAGGAGGAGCACAAGCTCCTCAGTCAATGGAGAGAGACAGGAAACCTCAGAAGGCAGCTCATATGACCTTAATAAGTACCTCATGTTCTGAATCATCTCCAGAGGTGTCTGCATCTAACCCTTGATCGCACAGGGAGTTACTACCTTACCTCACACCGCCCTGGGGACAAGCGTGCAAAAGTGCCCCCAAATCGTCTGTGGGTAGCAAAACACCCCACTTCACCTCCTTCCTCCAGCATAAACATTGTGTGTGTTCAATATCTTTTTGAAACGGCCTTTGCCTATAAAACAGACTTGCTGAATTCATACCATTCCCATGACTCTGCAGTCAGACCCACATTAGAGAAAGCTGTCCTGGATTTGCACCAGCTTGAATCTTGGGAGTAATTCTTGGAGAAGACCGAGTCCTGGACAGAACAAATTGTAAAAGCTTTTCCTTTTGGACTGGCTAGTCGCCAGATGAACATCTAATCTACACTGTGCTGTTGCTTCCCTCTGAAATACTTTTTAAACTTAGGTTCAGAATTTTAAGGCCAGAGATCATTAAATCATCTTGTCCAATCTCATGTACTGAACTCAGCACTCAGTCCATTCACTCCTGTAATTTGCTTGGGGCTGAGGAAAGATACTTCTCCCACCAGCACTTGTTTCCTTTGTAAGATTGAAAAAATGGAGTCTGTATTGATCTTTTGTCCTGCTGGCTAATTGATCTAATAATTTGAAACACATGCCTTACTGGTCATCAGAAATTCATTCTGAGAGGTTTTGTTTTCCTCCTTTTTTCTGGTCTGCTTCCACAGCTGGGTTAGTGAGTGCACGGATGAACAGCTAAACCAGCAGCCTCCAAAGAACAGAAACAACCTGAGAGCAGGCAAGAGACAGAGGGGAAGGGGAAAAGCCGTCCCAACCAGCAGGGAGAGGTGCCTGAATCTGCCCGGACCCTCAGTTTTCCACTACAGATGAGCCACATGAGCCTCATCTGGGACAGAAGTGTAATGGGATATAACTGAGGCTTTGTGATGAAGAACGATACTTTTGGAAGGTCAAGAAAATTGGGTTTCTCTGCAAAGTAAGACTCATTCTCCACTACGACTTTTTCAAACCTGTAAATCTCAGGCAGTCTGAAGCATCCTGTGGGCAAGCTGCAGGCAGATTTGGGGCATTCTAACCTCAAGGAGGAAAGCTGCAGCTGGCAGGTCCTGCTAAGCAAGAGAAATTCCCTACCTGCCTCTGCACCGCTTGGCAGAGCTACACCCACCCTTCAAGAAGATTTCCAAGGCCTTTGTCCTCCACCACCCACTTCCTCAACATCTTCGGCAATTCACAGCTGGATTTTTACATTTAGCAGAGCAAAATCTTGCTTAGCAGCCTGTCTTACAGCACGGCTCATGCCTACAGGTAGAATCTTCCAGTATGTCAGGCTCTAGAAATCCAGCCAAGGCTGATGAAGATACTAGCAGTTTGGAAATGTTTTCGCAAAGTCAAATTGCCGCAGGCCCATGTGTAGCACAGCACCTCTCAAAGCTCCCTTTATATCACGGCACATGGATATCATCAAGGTCAAAAGCTGGTAGCTTACATTTAACTATCCAATCAAGGAAGCATTTTAACTGTCGACTCCATTTAATTGTTATTTTAACTCTCTTTTTGCTGGACTCTATGTCTAAAAACACCCGTTTACTAAGAAAGAAAAATTAATCAGGTAAAGCTTGTAATGCAGAAACTCGGTGGCAGTCAGGATCTGGCCCATTTCAGGTGAGACCAGCCACGAGATGAAGATAAACCTCTTTTACAGCAAAACCACAACGTCAACAGACAAAACTGGTGCAAACCGAATCTCTTTTCTTCTGCACCAGATGTGTGAGCTTTGCTACCTGCTGCCTGGGTGAGAGCTGGGCAAACGCCTTCGTGGATGAAACCCGCAAAACCAAAATTAGTGCGGAAGAAAAGGCCTTGGAGTGAAAGGCCTGGAAAAAAGAGGGGAAGAGAGGAAAAAGTCAGTGCTGGAGACTGTCTTGGGTCTTCAGAGACCTGGAATCCATTACTGCTGTGCTGGTTTTGGCTGGGATAGAGTTAATTTTCTTCACAGGATCTAGTATGGGGCTGTGTTTTGGATTTGTGCTGAAAACAGTTATGATAATACAGGGATGTTTTAGTTCTTGCTGAGCAGTGCTTACAGAGTCAAGGCCTCTTCTGCTTCTCACCCCACCCGCAAGGAGGCTGGGGGGGCACGAGGAGCTGGGAGGGGACACGGCCGGGACAGCTGACCCCAACTGCCCAAAGGGATGTCCTGGACCATATGTGTCATGCTCAGCAGTAAAACTAGAGGGAAAGTTGGCGGAGTGGCTGCTGCTCTGGGACTGGCCGGGCATCAGTCACTTGGTGGTGAGCAAACGTTTTCATTTGCATCGCTTGTCTGTCTTGGGGTTTATTTCTCTCTCTTTGTTGTTTTCCTTTTCATTACTATTTATTATTATTTTGTTTAACTTCAGTTATTAAACTGTCTCTATCTCACAAGTTTTCCCACTTTTACCCTTCCAATTTTCCTTGAATCCCGCTGAGGGGGGGAGTGAGTGAGCAGCTGTGTGGTGCTTAGTTGCCGGCTGGGGTTAAACCACGACAACTGCTTTGCCATAATTTTCCTACATACCGCCAGGAAAATCCTGGCGTTTGCCAACAGGAAAATCTTGTTGTGAATTGACTCACAAGCACAAGCGGAGTCGAGTCAGGCGCAGCGACTAGTGCCCCAGCTGTCCGTACCATACCTCTCCTACAAGCTCCTTCAGGAGTTTTCTTCTCACCGTAGAGACAGCTGAGCTGAGTGTGAGGCAGCTCCCGAATGACTGATGGTGGGGTGAGGTAACTCCCGATCAGGGCTGGTTTATTTTGCCATTCTGAGCTACAAACCACAGCAATTCACATGTTGCTTCTCATGTGGCTCACACCCCCCCGGTCACAAGGGCGGCAACCCCCAGGAAAGGGGCAGGGCAGAGTGGCAGGAGGTGGAAATCATGTTTGCCATCCAACCCCTAATCCATTTGTGCTGGTGAGTCAACCCGCACGGCCCTTGTGCATCTCAGATCCCCATCTGTGAAACAGGGACGACAACAGCAGGGCTCTGCCTCAGGTGCATGAACCTGCAAGAAGAAGCGCATGACCCATCAGGAGGCACTCAGCTGCTTGCGACAGGAACAGAGATCCTAGATATGGACTGAAAAAGATGAAGGGAGAAAATAAAGGACCAAGAAGCTATGCCAGATGGTCTTTCCACTTCTGCCAGACCGTCTGCGCAGAATGACCTCTTTTGGGCGTTTTCCCTTAACGTTATTACAAGTATGTCAGAAATTTGATGTAATCAGGTCTAAAATCCCAGCGGAAGCATAATTGTCCAGGATATTTCAATTGATGCTTGAGTTACTTGACTACACTTACCTAACTGTAAATATTTCTTAGTCTTCAGCTCCAAAAAAACACTCTGTAGAAGCACTGCACCTACCTAAGAGTTCAGAAGCTAAGCCAGCCCTAGAATTTAACCATGAAGAACATTTTAACATCCTGTCTTCGCTACAGACTGTTCATTGAACTCTCGGACAAAGCGGTTAAAATCTTGCTAGCGTTGGGGTTGTTAAACAGAACTATGAGCATACTACTGCACAGGTAATCGCGAATTTGCTATTAGGGCTGGAACTGGGTGACATTTTACAGACAATTTGCCTAAGAAAATGTTGATAAAAAAGCTAATCCATTCATCCAAATTTCCTGTATAAAAACCCTTCTCAAAAACTCCCAGAAGTCAAAATACCTCCATTTAAAGCAGCTCCTGAAATACCAATGAGATCATTTTAGTAGCATTTCTTAGCACTGCAAGTGAAGTCTGTTGAAACTAAGCGTGATGACTTGCCCTACCCCCCTCTTTCACTGCACAGATAAGTCTGATGTCAAAACCCCAAACCAAAGCGCGATTAGGAAGCTGAAAAGTAACCCAGGCAACAAACAACAAATGTTAAATGCACGTCCAGCTACACCCTCAGCCACGTCTGCAAAGCGCTCGTTCTCACTGTCTGCTCTCAGGGATAAGATATTATCCCTATATTAGAGATGAAGAACTGAGGCATGATGGAAACAGCCCAGTCACAATAGAGGGCAAGGTCAGGACACCCAAATCCCAGGCTGATAAGACTCGCCGCAAAGCCTTCCTTCTCTTTGATCTGCTCTCTTCTTGAATGAGTATTTCTTTTAAATATCAGGCCTATCTAACGGCTCATTTGAAAGACTGGCTTGGATGGTCTCTTAAGACTATTTAAAAATTAATGAACAAGAATAATAGATATCAGCTAGCACAGGGCAAAGCTTCAGTTTGTTTGTATAAACCCTGGCAGTGAGCACCTGCTCCCTGCAGTTCAACATCTTGAAGGTCACACGGAAAAAGAATGCACGTCCCTTCATGGTAAGAGCAGCACTCGTGCAGGAAAAGAGTCAGAAGACATGCAAAAGGACTGACCTTCATCTCCACACACTAGTTTCTTCACCACACAGGGGATCTCTGTGTAGCCAAAGCCTTTCAGCTGCTCCACCTGCTGAGCTGTGATGGGGTGTTCCCACATGGCCGTGTTCATAGCTGGGCAGAAGAGCAGAGGTTTGCTCAGATCCCAAGCACGGATGACACAAGTCTGCAAGAGAAGCCAAGAGGTTCAGCTCTGGGACGGGCTGTCTTTCCTCATTCCTTCTCATCACTTCGCTGCACAGAAGCGCTTTCCCAGCCTGGGTGTCATTAGAGGGCCAAAAGCCTCAATCTGTCAGTGCAGCTGAACTAGCACACTGGCAGATGCACAGGGCTGATACTAATCTGTAGGACATTCCAGCAAATCTCATCTCTGACGGGCAACAAAGATGAGGGAGGCTACAAAGAGGATAGATCCCATCCTACTCCAGCTCGGGGCCAAGCAAGCAGCCCAATCACTGGAGCAAACCACACTGGAACACGATGTGTGCAGACTGCCAGCCCGTGTGGGAGACCAAGAGAAGCTGAGGGGTGGCCACAGATCGTATCAGCTATAAAGAAATCCCCAGGCAACACTTCAGATAAGCCAGCTGTAGAGCTAAACGCAAAAAGTTGGCAAGTGAGTCTTTTTAAAATGATATGCCAACTGGATCCGTAACTCCTCACAAGGGAAGCGCTGCTGCTTCCAGGATACAAACAGAGGATAACAGGAACACATCTGGGCTGTTGCAGAAGATGCTGGCAGATTACAAACCATCTAGCAGCTCCTGTGTGCTACCGGAAATCATAGCTGACTCCTTAGTAATACAGAACTTCCAGATAACCTGGTATTACCTCATCCCCTTTAAAAGATAAATGCTCGTTGCTCTTAATGCAATGCCCATCGGTTTCTCTAGGCGTAGCAGCATTTAAATCACACCAAGGGAGCTTCCCAGGCAGCAACAGTCCCTGGTGCGGGGTCTCTGCTCAGATCACAGAGTACTTACAAGAACCCTGCCCATCGTTTTTTATGCCCTGTGATTTGAACCCTTCCCAGCACAGGGAAGTCTGCTAGAATCTGTTCTAACTTGCCAACCAGCGCTCGGTTTCCTTTGCTGGAGCTACCTCTTCTCTCTACCAGGCTCTCTGAAAAGACTGCCAGGAGTTTCTGAAGCCACGCATCCCTAACGTCCTCCCTGAGATCTCCCCTCTGCTACCACCTCCACATCTACAGTACACAGGGGACCCAAAAGGACAAGATGTTGCTTGCCCCACTCACAGCTCCTTCTGGCTTCTCTCAGATCTCCGGTGATCTATTCATACAAAGGAGGGCTGTTGCTCTGGGTGTATTTTGTACATTTATATGCACTTCCTCTTACCTGAACAACTAAGTTGGTCATGCAGGGCTCCCCGACCAGATCTGACACACCATTCCTATTTCTAGCCTCCTTGCATTACTGCAGGGTGATGCTCCACAGCAACATTTGCAGATCTGCAGCTTCCTGGCAGATCTTTTGGGTGGTTAATGCTTATGACTTCTCCTAATGAAGACCTAATGCTTCAACACAAAGCATTCAGCCCCGCTGAAGGTCCCCAACACTCAACAGAGAAGCATGCTCTCTTTTAATACACTTTCTGAGCAGCCTTTGAGCCAGAGCACTTTTAACACCAGAAAAACGAGCCTGAACAAGCAATATCCCCTGTAGCTGAAACTGGAAGGTAAGTGTGAGCACTTTTGAATTTCTCTGCTATGCAGTTAGGTGAGGGAGGAGGCGAGGTAGCAGGAAGTAAACAATTTTATCTGATCTCACAGGTGTCTTTCCAGATCGCATTTAAAAAATGCAGAGAGGAACTCAAAAGTGAGTGCAAGTGTGTATGTGCACACGTGTGTGTGTACATGCATGACAGAGAGAGGGTGGAGGCAGAAAGAGAGAAATCCCACCTGCTAGAAAAAGCAGGAAAGGCACAAAGCAGGGACTGGGAAAGAATGGGAGAGACTGACAGAGCCAAGGCGTGGAAACGGATGTAAGGTCAGGGACGGAAAGAAGAACTGTTTGAAAAGGAATAGGGGAACCATACCGGAGGAAGAGAGAGAGAAGCATATGAAGAGGGAGCAGAACATGCAAATCTCACTGTTCTCGATGCCGCAGAAGCACAAGAGTTTCCATGAAAGAAAGGTCAGACAGTCTAACGCTGGGAGGTGAGAGAAGTCTCAGGCAGAGCTCCGGTTACTCACCAGCAGGTTGTCACAGATGCCATTCGCGAGCTTTGCCAGTGTGTTTGCATCAAGAGGTGCCACCAACATAACGTCAGCCCACCGCCTGAGCTCGATGTGCAGGACGGGGTCCGAACGGCCCTTCCACAGCTGTGGATGAGACAAGACACAGACCACTGAACCCTCACAATGAACGCTGTGGACAACGGACACTTTAACAATCCCACATTAGTAACCACCATGTAAACTTAAGGGGAAAGAATTGCTCTCACACCAAGCAAGATCCAACAGCGTGAGGAGCCAAGGACTGCAGCCACAGCGCTCACTTTTCTGATTTCCCCCCCTCCTCCAGTGTTGCAGCAACGTTTAAGAAGCACACTTAACGGACGGCACCGATGTGCTCGGTGCTCTACAAATGGGTATCCTTTCCCCACAAAGACAATTCACACGTCCAACAACCACGGATTTCAACTCACAGGAAAGAGCTTTCCTCATCCACTTCCCATTCACGTCACCCCTCAGCTTCAGAATTGTTCGTAAGAGCTCCCTCAACACGGAGCATATTTGAGCAGAGAAAAGAGCTCCACCCCATCAGCCAGATGAAGCCAGGAAGGACCAAACCAGGGGTCACATTTACTGAGGAACCCGTGCCATTTATAAGCTTCACATTTCTTTGAAGTGAAGCTGTCTGCTGGCTTTTAATGAGGTGTAGACCCTTAACTGCACAAGTCACTTTCAATTAGGATGCACTCCCCTACACACTCACAGCAGCAAAGTAAACCCTTGTAAATACAGTAGGGAACAGTCCTGTTGGCTTTCTCCAGGATAGATGAGGTTTAGCCAACTGGGCACCTTCCTCCTCTCCTGGCTCTTAAGCGAATATTTCCATTTTCACTAAAGCTCTAAGTTGCTCAAGAGAGTCCTGGCCTTTTCTTAAGAGCACAGTTAACTGGGAAAGTGTCAAGAGAAGCAGCAAACAGCATCAGGTGCTTAATCCCCAGAGGACACACACAACCACAGGCCAGCAAGAGGTGCATCAGGGCCACAAACTGTTCCTTCTCTGAGTCACTGGAAACCACAACAAAAAGACAGCATCCGGAAAGCTGGTGCTTCCTGACACCTTTCCCAGCTCCTCCACTCACTTCTATTTTTAATAGAAGCACTGGAAATTGTAGTTTTATTTTCAGAGTAAAACATCTCACAAACAGATGCTGAGCAGGCTTATTTCCCACCCTTCTGTCAGAACAGCATGTTATAAGGGCTCTATTCCTGCTTTCCAGTGTGCCAGCAGACATCAAATCCTGATCTGCAACTCTTCTGTCACCCTACCGAGTGTTCCTCTGAAATAACTGCTCGAGCTGTAGCACCCTGGGACCCAGCAGATTACCACCAACCTCCCAGGCCAGCTAGAAAGCTTCCTGGCCATTGCCAAGAGCATGCCTCTCCACGTAAAAGTGATGCTCACGTGTGAGTGCCTTGGCAAGAGTACTGGTAACGAGTACATCACCTCGTACTCAGATCGGCACTGCAAAGTAGGGATAAGATGTATAGAAAAACAGATGTTGATGTTTATAAAATGAACCTCTTCATACTCAGGGACTCTGAAAGCGTGTCAGCAAGACTGAAGACAAAAAGCCATTTGACAGGGTCTAGAGCTGTTCACACCCTGACAACTGAGCTATCCCCCACTGGAATGGCTCTTCTATGTGCATGCAGGAGCACAACGCGGACACCTCTGAGATGAACACTCCTTCCACCAGAACCTCTCTAACTTCCACCCGCCTATCGCACTGGTGCACGACGCCTCCAGGGACTGGCCTTCCTCTGCACCGCGACACCAAGGTGGCCATACCAGCACGAGGTTACCCAGTCAGACACCAGGCTGAGTTTTAAAGCAGTGTGGGTAGTTTTGTGAATGTCAGCGATGCCTGTAAATTCAGAATACGTAGTGTTAAGGAGAATTAAGCTGTTGCCTTCATGACAAGTATGACTCATGACAAGCACCAAACACCCTCACCGCACCTCTGCAGTGGCTTTCTTGACATTTCCTGATACTCCTCTCAGAGCTGCAGATAGTGGCTGAGCCCAGGGTGGCGAGAAACCACTTCTACCCTCACTGCCTGCTGCAAGTCTCCGAGGGTGGCACAAAATCCTCCAGTACAGTTAGGCCAGCTTTTCTTTTCTTCCTCATTTACAGCATGGTTGGAACCACGTTCTTTGAAAGCCACATTCCAAAGCATACATTACTAGAACAAAGAAGCGAGTCTTGGCCCAGGATTAAAAAAATGAGTAAATGTGGTCTCTTGCAAAGAAACTTAGAGGAACACTTCTACTTGCTGTTCAGCACTTGAACAACGAAGTGAATGTCCCAGGGATTCTGCTTTTTTTCTGAAGCATGACCCACTCACTGGCTTTCTGGAAGCAGAAGGCACGAGTGCATGACAAAACTACTTGAATTACAAAACTTGTGGCTAGTAGGGACACAACAGAAGCCCTTGCAGGCTCCAAAGGAAGAACGACTCACCTGCCACTCATCTTCATCGCTGTAGAGCGTCACAGGAATCTCCTGGGCATTGTAGAAATGCTTTGCTCTCTCCGTAGTGACAACCTTCACCTCGAGCTAATCAGAAAAGGAAGACCGCTGGTTAGACTTGCGGACGATCCTGTAAACCTGGGTAGAGGAAGAGATTTTGAAAGCTATGTGGATTCTCAGAGGACCTTCCCCTATTCACGGTCGAAAGGCCAGGCCACCACAGGTATTCACGGGAGCCAAAGACTCATTTCATGCCACCCTAAAACAGGCAGGTGATTAGTCACCACCTGCCAAACGTGTTCACATGGCCAGTTCACAGCGGGGACAGCAGAGAGGACAGAGCAGGTCACAATGAGATGCAGCTCTGCACAGAACTTCAAAGAGACAGTAAGAAGCAGCAAACCAGAGTTCTGTGAAAGGTGCCCTTTAATCTCAAAATATGCCTGCCAAAAGGAGTAGGAGAGCATCTTGCCTCAGTGGATTCCCTTAACCACAGCACAGAGGACTGCCGAGGGGTGACATGCCTACAGGGCACTTTGCAGGATCACACTTCCCACACTCGGAGCCAAGAGGAAGCTCTGTGCCAAGAGAAAGCACAGTGCTGAGTGATCAAAAGAACTGCTGAGGGACAAGTAGGTTGGCTGGGGCTCAGCACCACCAGTGCAAAGCAAGCCCACTTCTGCTGCACAAGGCTTCACAAGAAAGAGTGGCTTTGGAAGAAAGAGTACCATTTCTTGGTTGAATGGACCACACTGTGCACCTCTTTCTCTCTCAGTGATCTCCTGGTGCTAAAGGTGAGGAGGTAGCTACAGACTATTGGACACTACTTTTTAAAACTGTGTTACTCAGGCTTGCTCCAGCCAGGGGTAATAATACCAGAAGCAAGTCGGAGTTGTGCCTTCCACCTATCCTTCCTATCAAAGTAAGATGTTGGAAAGAGGAAAACCCCTGTGTAGGTATGTTCATAGCATAGTGCAGCCAAAGCAGTAAAGCAGTGGCTTCCACAGAGGAAAAAGAGATGGGGTGAAAGCATACAAAGGTTCTCTCCAAAATCTTAGATGAACGTGCCTGCCTGTTCAAAGCCAGCGAAACCTGCAGTTATATGGTATACACTGGGGAAACACTATCATGTCCCTTAGGTGGTTATTTGACATGCACACCCACGAGGTGCTAAGGTGCCCTACAACATGAGATCCTTTAATTTCCTCCTGCAGAAATCTGAACAAGTGGAAAAGGTTTGTTGTTTGGTTTTTTTTTTTTTTTTTCCCTGGTTTCCACATGTTGCATGACCTGCTCAAAGCTGTAGCTCTGACAAATGTTGCAAACAGCTGCCTGCCACATGCAGTGACCCAGAGGTGCTCTGCACGCACCGGGGTCAGCCTCAAAGCAGAGCCAGTGTCGGAGCAGCTCTGCGCGCGCTGATCACCTGTGCAAGACATGCAACTCTACTCCCAGCAGCAATTCCTCCCGAGAATGCACCTTAAAACCAGCCAACAGACCTGGAGGGAGCACTCCAGAAAGACTGGTAATGTGGAAGATGCCACCAATCACAGTAAAAAATAACTCTTTTCCGTGTTATTGGCCACTTTCAACCACTGTCTGATCCTTCAAGCAGTTCACACTGCAACCCACTGCGTGGTTCTATTAGCGCAACAGAGACGGGGAAAAACCAGCCTCACCAACTCCTTCCCGCTATAAAACTGTGGCCTGAGGTACAAAACTGATGACACTCGGTCTGCACACTCTTGCTAAAACAGACTGCGCTAAAACAGACGGCTGAAAACCTCCAACCTCCAAGAAGCTATCTGCAACAGCAGCGGTCGAAGTGACAAAACATGTTAACCTATCTCCCCAGCACTATCTGTTCAACTGGGAATGGAGCAGTGTTCATTATCTGCACCCTACATGACTAGAATAACAGCTGGGAGCAGTGGAAAATCCCAGCCTTTGCATATCATGGTCTTTGGTAATTCTTCCTGTTTCCTGAAGAAAAAGTAATGGGAAAATATAGCTGCACGTAACACCAGTATTTGGTACTATATGTTTGGTTCTTTGCCTCTTCTAAATATCTGCTCTTTTTCAAGTGACCCTAACTTGGAATCACAGCTGCACTTCTAGAGCTTTTGAGTGTAAAAATGGTATTCGCAGCAATCAACTGTATTGTTTTCATATTAACCTCACCTGACAGGAAGCTATTTGGAGCCAAGCAGCAACACCCACAGAGGTGCTAACTCTGCTATGCTATGGGCTTCAGTGAGGTGTTAACCTCGCAGTCTGCAGGATACTAGGTATGTGGTGATTTTAAAGAGCAACGTGCAGTTTAACGGGGCATGTCTGCTCTCTGAAACGGTACCAGTAGGCCAGGTCTGCACTAAGTTTTCAGCAGTAACGTTTGTTAGTGCTATTTTTATTATACAGTTAGCCATAACAGTATAAGGATTTTTAGGTGATACAACCTGATCTACCACATGGCATAGTTTGTCACTTGCTACTTCAATTGCATCATTATTCAAAATTTTCTAGACCCCTCTAAGGCTAAAGGACACAGGAAAAAAAAAAATCCCCAAAAGACACTCTGCTTTTTTCTAAAAGATAGTTCCATAACCATCTCCAGTCTTTGGAAAAATACACATTTCTTCAAAGCATAAGCCCAGGAATAGGGCATAGCTGGCTATCGAGTACTGCATGCAACCCACTACAAGCTAGAGCATACCAGAGGGGTGTTCAAGGACTCCAAGTGGTGGCGACTCCACCGTTCCCCAAGAAAGTTGCTCTATTAGTTAAATATTCTCCCCTAATTAAGGTTTTCTGCTGCGGTGGGCTCCTGGTTCCCTTGTTCTGAGCAAGTCCTTCAAGTCCCTCCAGCTGCGTTGGAAAGAGATCAGTGTTCTCAGGATCACTTTAGCCTACATAGTTTTTTCTTTCTATTTACCTGGCACACCCTCTGCTTGCCTGTGGATATCTGTCTGCTTAAACAGTAAAGGCAGTCTAGCCACACTCAGAAACTCCTTCACTGGAGATGGTTTAGACTAGTTAGAGATCTTTTACTTGGACCACTTAAGCCAGCTCTCCAGAATAAACTTTGCTGCAAAACCGCTCTCCTCTGTTCACACAATATTGCTGGTCTCTGCTAGAAGATTCTCCTATCACAGCCATTTCTGCTTGGGGTAACGGTGCGTCTATGATTTTTTTTTTCTTCATAACTTTCTCAGTTTTGACAGCAAAATCCTTACAGGCAGACTGAGATTTGGTAACAACTGCTGCAGAAGAGAATGAGTACCTCCTCTGTTAAAGGGCACCTACAAGCTGACACAGAGGCTACCTGACAGAAGCACAATGAAACGACACGACGTGATTTAAACCTAGCAGTCCAGATGGCATCCCGTAGCTTCAAGAGCAATACATTTCACCCACAGAAAAGTCTGTCGTTGCCTTTCTTTATGACTAACCAATATCCTGCCAATATGATTTTGGTCATCATGTTCCTGCCAGGCCATTCAAAATTTGTAGGAATCGGTCTGAGACAACATGTGTGAGTAGCACAACCACGAGAGTTACCCACAGTGTCCTGACGAGACACGATGTGCTGTCTCCCCACAACACCAGGTGTAATAACCTGAAAGGCGTAAGCTGATGCCATCTAAATTTCCTAGATCTTCAAAGAGGTTAAACAAAAGGCAGTAAGATGGAGTCATATCCATTATCACCCTCAAGGAGTTGTTAAAGTTTAATGAGTGCAAAATCACACTGCCAAGTTGTTCACCAAGGATCATTTTAGCCAAAACATCAATTTTAACAAACTACTCCAGTTTCAAGCCTCTGACCACATCTCCTTTGGTATCAAAACCTTCCTCTGCTCCTGCTCTGCTTCCACAGGTGGCTTTTTAAAGTTTTTATCCATCAGTAAAGAAATTGATGCAACAAGCTTGTGCAGGACTTAACAAACTCAATGGAAAAGCTACACTGACTCAGCAAGCTTTAGATCAGGGCTTGAAATCACATCAGAAATGAGTAAATAAATATTTTTAGTTAATAAAGTACCAGAAGCTCCTGGACTTGACACTTCACTTTCAGTTTTTATGCAACTGAAGCCTAAAACCAGTGGCCACAAAGCCTGCAACGGATGTTACAGAATCTGTGGGCCTTCACAGAGAATTTAGGTCCAGGCGTCTGCAGTTTTTAATTATGAATCAAATGCTCAGAGAGAAGAACCGTGTTTGACCTAGATACCTACAGCAGATCATTTGCATTCTTCCTGTCACCTGCAAAGAAGAATGTTCCAAGCACAAAGAGCAAAGAAAAAGAGACAACAATGAAGCCAATCCAAGAGACAGAGGATTAGAAGATGCATATCCCTGGCTCTGGTCTGGTCACCCCCCTTCCTTGCTATCATTCTTCTTTTGCCCTCTTACTTCAGGCTAGGACTGCTGGCCTCACTAATCGTTTCAGGTCAAGTAATAAATTAACTGAGGCCACTCTTTGCAACCCACAACACCAGCCCAGCTGACAGAACCAGTGCCCAACAGCTCGTCACATCTTCAGTACCCTTTCCAGCTTGGATATCAGCATCAACCAGATATGTCTGAGCTACTCAGGGATTGCACCTCTTCTGACTCTGTGTTAATGTATCTACAAACTGAAGCCTCCCGAATAATCCAAAAGGATATTCATTAAGGAATCTAACCAATATATCTGGATATTTAAGTGCACCCTCGCTCCTGCCACTCTTTCATTTCACTGCTCCGAAACATTTGCTCCGTTTCTGGAGTGCTAAGGCCTGAACAATGGGCCTTGAACCAAAGTTGCCCTCTAGATGAACCTCACAACCAAGCGTTATATAATACCAGCATCCGATGATGAGCAAAATATGTCCGATCATTAGCGAAATATGTAGCTTGGATAGAATATCTCATTAGCGAGACAGGTAGCTTAGATAAAACGACGTGAAAATATATTGACTTTTCCTAGTTTAGAACGATGCTGTCAAGGACGAGTACACAAACTCCCGTGGTTTCTCCCTGAGCCCTGGCCAAGCTTGGGGAGGAATCCCAGAGGAGGATGAAAACAGATGTTCCCGCACATGAAGAATTATGTAAACTTGTTTGTCTGGCAATATAAAAAGCTGGACCCTCTTGCAGAGACTTTGGGAGACCTCACCTACGGATGGGCACATCGTGTAGGAGTTCCCAATTGCCAGGAAAAGCTCTTCAAACCCTCACTGCAACCGGGGCTGCCCAGCGACTGCGGGTCTGGATGACGGTGATGTATTAGGGCAACTGGTGATGTATCTTTCTCATAATCACTGTGACTTGTCCGGTATAGTAATGACTGGATGCATTGCCTTATTTCTTAACTGCCTTGTTTCTTACCTATGACCTTTTTTTTTTTTTTGGTGTTACCTTGAGACAGCCAGTAAAATGAGCCTACTCTTTTCGATTGGGTGGCTGTGTTTTTGTTATTTACCCCATCTGTTGACAAAACAGTTTCTTAAAAGCTAAAGTTTTTCTATGTTTAACTTTATTCTACAGCAAAAGTTAGCACATTTCCCTCCTTGATTCTAGTCACTAGTGGCCTCTGCTGGACACCTCTGTAACTCCAGACAACAAACTAGTAAAAAAAGAAATGCACAGACACATATAGCAGCTTATATTTTCTATTTCTGTTTTTACAAGATCTGGTTTCCTTCTGTTGGTCAGACAGCAGTGTCCATCTTTGCACACTCCTCTCACCCTATGGAAAACTGCAATATCCTAATTAAAGGTTTTAAGTTCCAGAAAGCATCACCTGTGTCTGTAGCCAGATCTGATAATTTGACCGCCAAGGACATACTCCAGAAAAAAATCCCAAAGTCAGGACCCATACAATCATTTTTGAGAGAATTAAGCAAGCTGACCTGAACAACAGTACTTTCACATTCCAGAATCTAAATGTCGGCCTATGGAAATATCCAGGAATAGTTACTGCTCTTTAAGTCTGAATGTAAAGCTAACTCATAGGTGTAGAGAAGTATGAAATGACAGGAAAAAGTATTAATCGATTTTTAAAGACCAGAGGAATCCTCCCCCAACAAATTTTCAAACTAAAAGGCTCAAAGCCAGAAAGAACATTTCAACAGAAACTCTCTTCAAAAAGAGAAAGAGAGTATCACCACCTTTCTAATACTCTACCAATAGATTTACTCACCCCAGTGATTTTCAACAATTCAGCAATGAGGAGAGGTAGCTTCAGGGCAGCCACGCTTCCAGTCACTCCCACCAGGACCCGGTGTTTTTTCTGTGGCACAGATGAGCTCTTCTCTGCAGGAAACCCTGGTTCTGGTGGGGATGAGGGCTCCATGCTCCAATCAAACTCTGCAAGCACAGAAAAACCAAGACACTTGACTAACAGTGCCCCCAAGTGAGACTAGCACGGCAGGGCTCCAGCACCGACGTATTCCTGAGGGCAGGGATCTCAGCCTGGCCTATGCAGGACCCAGAGTAATTCTGCCTGAGGTTGAACCCAATCTGCAAAGCTTTCAAGCATCAGCAGACCTTTAAGCGTAGCAGTAGCCTACTCCTCCTGTTTAATTACAATTTTCTCTCGGGTGCTGGCAAGCAGAACACTAAATCCTTCACAGGCAGGCCATGAGAGTGTTGTGGTAAAGCCCACAGCCCCCAGAACAAAGAGACACTCTCACACATTGAACACAATCCAGAATTTACAGTAACTACCTTTCACAGTGACTGCTGAGAAGACACGCAACCTGCAGCTGAGGCAGCTTCCCTTCACACTCTCTGGTGAGTAATACACGCAGGAAGACACTTTAATAATTAAAATTTTGGGGCCCTGAGAAAAGCATCATCATCTTCCTTCCTATTGTATCACTACGTATTTACAGCAGCGCTGGAAATGACTCCCTGGCAGACGGGGAAGAAACCAAAACGGCGAATAAGAGGTAGAACAGTCCAGCCTACTGAGTGGAAACAGCTTCTGAGAGACGGGAAAGCCCGATCCGCTCACTCCCGCCGAGCGGAGCGATCCGCAGGCGACACGGCCAAGTGGGGAGGGAGGGAGGGCTGAGCAAGCAGCTTTAATTCGGGTCTCCTGCCCGCTCCCTCCTTCCCCGCCCCGCCGGCGGGGACTGTTCTGGTGAGGCAGAGCGACCCGCAGGGACGACTCAGCCGCCGGTTCCGTTCTGGATCCTTTGAAGGGCGATTCAGATGGCGCTTGCCCGGCAGTCGGGTGGGAGCCCGGCCCCGGCACCCAGCCCCGAGGCACACGAACACCCTTCCTGACCAACCTCCTCGCACCCACACGCTGCAGCGCAACAGCAACGACGTCTTCTTTTTCCACGCTCTGCTTGGAATGAACCCATTTAACTCAGGCCCCTGGGGTTTCTCAGCAACTTTATATACATAAAAAAAAATATAATAATCACTAGGATAAGAGCACAATTTCAGCATAAGCTTCTAGGCACTGATTAGCACGGGTAATTAGAGGTGAGAAAATCCAGCACCCACATTGGCGAGGCAATTCCGACGCTACTGCAACACTTTACGTGTTTGTCTGTATCTAATTAAAATTAAGTTGTCGCTGTCACAGCAAGGAAAACATCCACTTCCCTTATGATGACTAAATGACAATTAATTCACTGGAGCACCCGCATCTGAAAGCCTGGGGAATAAGACATAATTTTTTAATAGGCAGCTTTCAAAAAGCACTATTAGCGATAAAACAGCGCTCTCCTCCTGCCCAAACACAGCTCTAGGGAGGCAGCAAAGAAGCCATTAGAAAGCGAGCGGTTTACAGGCCTATCTGCTTGTTTTATTAGCCTTTTAACGCCGCCGTTAGCTGAAAACTGCTTCAAGAGGCCGCCGAGGCAGAGAACCGAGGAACCCTGGGGATTTCCATGCGGGATGCAAGCGAGGTGTATATACCGGTGGAGACACAGGCAAGAGAGCGGCAAACCCTTAGCTGAAGCCTCGGTGGCGGCGGGGCCCGGGACGCGGCCTTGCACCGACGGGAGTCGTGTGTCCCCCCCGCCTCCCACCCCGTTCGCCGTCGCCCGGCAACAGGGCCGCGACCCCGGAAGGCGAAGGGCACGCTGGGGCACGGCCCCGCCCCTGCCGGGCGCTGATTGGCGCGGGGTGATCGCGCATGCGCAGGAGAGGGGCCGGCCCTGAGGGGGAAGGAAGTGACATGGCGGTCGTGCTGTGCCCGGCCCTCTGTGGCCTCCAGCCCTGCCAGGCAGCCCGAGCGGGGCTCCCAGCCCTGGCGGGGCGGGGGGGGGTGTGCTTGCTCCCCCTGGCACCCCCGTAACCCGTAACACCCACTCCCGCAGCGCCGGGGAGCAAAAGCCCACGCGGGGGAGCTCCGCCAGGGCAGGCGGGTGCTTTCAGGCAACGCAGCTATCTAAGGGAGGAGTCTGGCTTATGGCGAGGCTTTAGAGGTATGGAGGGGCAATAAAAAAAAAAATCACTGCTAGGGGAAAAAAAAACAACCAACCAAGGCGTGTGGGGGGAGCAGGGTTGAGAAGAAGGGGGTGTCTGAGGTGCTCCTGGGCAGCCCCCGGGGACAGATGAGCCCCCGGAGGGGTTACAGGAGCGAAACCTTTCCTGCGGGATTCAGGGCAGCCTCAGAGCTGGCAGGGGGAAAGCCGGTTAGAGGGCTGCTGGTTTACTGTCTGCAGCAGAAGCGTGACAGGTCTGGGGCAGCGGTCCCCCTCTCTCCCCGGGACGCGCCTTGAGCATCCCCCCCGATGTTGTCAGCTGCAAATAAGCATCAAGAAGGGCAAGAGGTAGAGAGCTCTGCCTCACCAACTGGGACGTGAAGAGCAACAGCAGGACCTTGCTGAAGCAGCAGAGGCCATCCATAAAACTTCATGGCTGCTCTAGCCCGCAGCTGCTTCCTCGCCCCGCCACAGAAACACCCAGCATCAGCTCTCCCACCTTGTGGGGCTGCAGGTTTCACAGCAGAGTCAGCCCCCCACCTAAAGCAGTCACAGATTAAAAAAAAAGAGAGGGGGGGGCGGAGACGGTGTCCTGCCCAGCTTGCACTGGCAGGGCAGGAAAGCTGGAGCCACAGGGGCATGTTTCAGCACTCATGCATTCAGGAGACACACCGGAGAGGAGGGTTAGATGCTGAAGCAATGTCTGTTAGTTAATAGCTTGTTACAGTTATTTATGCATCTTATTGTAAATGCAAAAGGTGAAGTCACTTAATTCATCACTTCTCAGACATGGATGACAGAGCACGTGATTTGGCATAGTAAGTTTTAGGCTAGCTATAAATGAATTGCACAATATTTAAACCTGATTAAGTACATAATAGGCTCAGCAAAGGATTACTTTTCTCCTTACGTTTTATACATATATATATATACACACACAGACAGGCATTTTATCATTAGCTGCATTTTAGTCTTGTCAGGAAACGACTGCCTACTGCAGAGTGACTGAAGTGATACCCTTAAACAGGAAACTATTCTTGGTGTGCTTCGCTGGCAAAGAGAAGTTCCTCTTTGGGGTGATTCTCGTGGGTAGGAGTCACAGACAAGCATCACCGGACAGGACAGCTAGAGGGGACAGGAGGTGAGAGGCAAGGGGCCGGGGACTCGCACAGCCCTGGCCAGCTGCTGGCATGAGCAGTGGCACGCTGAACTCGTTGCCTGCAGCAGGTAGGAGATATTTGAGCCAAGGGGCCAGATCGGATTCTGTTTGGGCTGCTTTTCTAGGACTTGGGGGAAAATTTGGCGTATTTAAAGTGCGTTTGGAGTCTGAAAAGCATCTCTAAGAAGGAGCTTTCCCTACTCCTGCCCTGCAGAGTCCATCAGCTCCCATTTACAAACTGATCTTCTCCAGGGTCTGCCGGTCACCTTCCCCAGCTGCCACAGCTCAAGAGATGCTAGTCTGAGCTCAGCTGCCTCTCACTAAGGTGCTAGATCATTATTTAAAGCCCTACCTCCCCTAACTGGGCAGGGATTCGGGGCCAACAGGAGCAGGGATTTCTGCACCAGGAAAATCCATGGCCACGTTCCACTGTGCTTGGTAGAAGCACAGGTGAGCAGGAATCCTTCCTGCCAGTCTGGAGGTTTCCCAAAGAGCCTTAAATTAGTGCACGCCTCAACAGCTAACAGGGACAAATCTTGGCCTTGCTATTTACATGGTTGGTGAGACTGGTTGTATGTGCTTGCATACGGGGTGGCAAGATTTGACCCGGAGCCTTGCCCAAGAATAGGTCCTCTGAGAAACGCTCTGCCAATTTTATAGCCGCTTTTCAAAACAGAAGCCTTTAAGAAACAGACTCAGGATGCAGAATCTGGAACGGGATGGCTGTATCCCGCAGGGAAAACCTGTCCTCGCTCCCCAGCACACGCACACGCGCACGCACACAGCGCGCCGGGGCTCCTGCCCACAGTCACGCACAAATTCTGCGCTTCCACATCAAAATGTAAACTACTCATTTACAACACCACACACAGAGAGAACTTGTAGATCCTGAGCCAGGGTGTAGATTAGGAATCTCTTGGCTTCCAGCATATCGACAGCAAGATCGAGGGGTTTGTGGTTTGTTTGCTTTTGTTTTTTTTTTTGTTTTTTTTTTTTTTTTTTCCCCTCCTGATTTTTTAAATTCTAAATCAGCCAGCCACCTGCTAGTTAAAAAGCTAAAGAAAAGGGAGAATTCCCAGGAATGCTTGTCCTTGCTGAGACAGTGGCAAGTGGCTGGACGCTACCAACTGAAAGAGAAAACATACACGTTGAAAACCTGTGGTTCAGGGCTTATTCTGGAAGGGGAGATGGGTGCTGGTTGGCTGGTTGCCATTTTTTTTCTTTCCCTTTTTTGGGGGGGGTGGGCTGGGGTGTGGGCTTTTGGCTGATGTAGTTCTAACGTACACCTATCACCACAGTAATTAAAAAACCACCACCATACACTATTTCACAGGGAAAAAGAAGACACGTGAACATACACTTACTACCACGCACAAAAAGAGCCCTGCAGGTCAACTCATGGCCTCTTCAAAATGAAAAATAAAGGAGAAAAGAAGAGCTGAAGACAATAACGGGGGGGGGGGGGGCGTGGGGAGAGGAAAAAAAAAAAAAAAGAAAAAGGAAAAAATCCGAAATGATCTCATTACAAAGAACGGGAAAATAAGAACCATTATGGTACACTCCGACTTTCTGAAACAGCTGCAGAAACTCGGCTCAGCCTTCCTCCTCCTCCTTTCCCCCCCCAGATCTTTCGCCTGAGGACAGTGTCCTGCTGCTCACATCTCGTTGGAGTAGGTGTAGTTCGGGGTGGCTGAGTACTGCGTCTCGTTGTGCATCATGGCCCCCTGCGCCGCCCCCATCGCCGCGCTCTGTGCTGCCTGCTGCACGTGGGGGTTCTTCCACGCGCCCGTGGTCCACTCCTCCTGGGCTTTGCTGAAGCTCCCGCCGCTCCCCCGGTAAAACTTATGCACCTGTAGCAGGTGGGAAAGAGAAAAATCCAGAGGTGCTGAGAGACTGCAGCTCACGCTGGCCTTCCAGGGTAGCGGCAAGGGCTCCCTGACACGACGCGGCACCCCCCTCTCCCCCCGTACCATAGTGAGAGCGATGAAGGAGAAGACTGCCATCCCCGTGAACAGGACAGTGGGGATCAGCATCACCACGGCCGACCCCACGTTGGTCCCGAAGAAGGAAATCGCTGCAATCCAGCCGCTGCAAGGAGATGAAAACAACCGGTCTGGTTCAGCAGCCTGGGGCTTTCCCGCCTGGCTCGGCACACCGCAGCCTGCTGAGCATCCCTCCCAGCTCCTCAAAGCATCTTCCCCAAGGAGAGAAGCTACCGAAGCACTGAGGATGTCGAAACACCAAGAGGCCACAGCACCAGCACAACGGTGACCGGCCTTGCACCCAACACGAGAGCAGCATCTTCCTTACCAGACACCCCAGCCAGGGATTCCCACCGCCTGGATAATGCTGATCACCAGCTGGGCCATGAAGGTGAAGAAGAAGGCCATGAAGCTGAAGGAACTGTCTGTCCTGCAAGAGAAGGCTCGGTCACTCTCTCTGCCTCCAGCCCCGCTGCGCTGCAAGGGAAGGGAGATGCTCCCACGTCTCAGACCCTTTCGGGGCAGAAGGAGCTGTGGTTTAGTGAGAGGGTGGTGAGAAGCGGAGCTGCCTGCAGACAGCAGGCACCAGAGCAAAACTAAAGGCAAAAGAGAAACTGCGAGAGGCTGGAGGTGGTGAAGGGGCACCTGGGGAAGCCACGGGGCATCAGATCCTCCCCATGGCTCGGCCAGCTGTGTGCATCGGGTGAGAGGGTATCCGTGTTCGGACACGGCTCTCAGCTCACACCACCCTACCATCAGACTCAGCCATCCTGCAGAGGGAATAAATACACCCCCAGTTTTCTAGATCTGGGGATACTGCACTGGGGATCGACCTCAGCAGCATGGGTAATCAATACAAGCACCTCGAGGACTCGTGGAAGAATACAAAAGAAGCCTCGAGGATGGGCAGGAGGGGAGGGAAAGTTGGCACCCCAACTGCATCCTCACCACTCCCCCTGACGCCACGCAGAGGCACACAGCGGGTGTCTTTATATCTCACGGTTAGGGTTTTGGCCCTCGGGAAACGCCAAACACCCTTGCTTTGAAGGTTAGGAAGTAAAGCTAAAGGGCTGGACAGAAAGAGCTGAAATTCCCCCAAATATTCAGGCAATGCCCCAAAGCTAAGCACTAACCATTTAGGAAGGAAAACAAAAAAAAAAAAAAGACCAGGAGAAGCCAGGCTCAGGTGTGACCACTTACTTGAAAGCTTTGTAAATAGGTCTAAACCAGCAGACATAGGAGCAGGGCGTAAAGAGAATGAGCCAGAGAATTGCCAGTCCAAAATTAACAGCTCCACCGCCTCCAATCAGCCATGCGAGGCAGCCAACGAGATTCACCGCCAAGGTGATGCTGTTCACTGCAAACACACACACACACAGAGGGAGCACAGTAGCGCGTACGCGAGGACGTCGGTGTGATACGAGAGATATCCCCGACCCCAGGGATGCCCACGCGGGGCTGACCTCCAGCAGGTTTGGCCAGCAATGCGTTGCCCTAGCTGGATTTTCCTTAACTTGAATTCAGCTGGCTGAGTCCAGGGAGCATCCCCAGGCTGGCTTAGCCAAAAGGGGTCTAACCTCAGCTGAGGAGCAGGAGGGGAAAAAAAAAAAAAAAAAATGTATCACTCAGAGTTGTCATGTCTTAAACAGGTCCAGCGCTCGTGGCGCTCTGGGGACAAGGGGAAGAGCCATATCCTGCTGCCAGCAAGCTGGGGCACGTTTCCACCAACAGAAGGAAACCGGAGGAATCGAAGTGAAGGTTTTTCGCTTGCCTCCAGCTACAGTTTCGCTGAAGGAGCTTGTGCAAGAATTCCCCGAGCTAACAACCCCTGCACTGAGAGCTGAAGTCCTGAACTCCTGGCCCCCGCCTCGCCAGTTCAGAGGGGTGCTGTGTTTTCTTCTCCCACCCTGGCTCGGGGTTAAGCGATACAAGGGCTATTACTATGAAGCCCAGCTTAGCAGACACAGGACAAAGCAGAGAAGGCTCATTTGCATTCTGACGCCTCCGATTTTTGAGAATGATTCATTATTCTGACGAGAATTAAAACCCTCCCACAGCAACCCCCAAGAGAGCTGCAGCTGGCAAGAAAGGGAGCTCAGCTGGCCAGGCTGGCCGGGCGCTCGCTGCTCCCTAAAGCCCCCAAGGACACCAAGGGGACCTTTCAGCCTCTCTGCGCTTGCGTCTAGCTGGGTGTTTGCGGGGGAGTTGGGGAGAAAATGATCCAGAGAGGAGCTCCAGAGACAGAAACCAGCAGACAGACGACCGGCTCAGAGAGCTGGCGCTTGTGCTGTGGGAGAGGCTGGAGCAAGAATCAAGCTCTGTTAAATTAAGCAGAGCAAGAACAGCCAGATTGAGATGAGGAGGGGATTTAACACCCCTCAAGACAGCTTTGCCAGGGAAGCACAACTTTTTTTTTTTTTTCCTCCCCCTTCATAGAAAAGCTACGCTAACCGCCCTCCTGACACGATGGGGGAAGTTACCCCAGGGTCACCTTCCCACTGGGATGCAGCCCCCAAAAGCTGGAATAAGACACGGCCCCGGGGGTGCCAGCCTGGCACAGGGCTGAAAGCAGAAACCTCTTCGGTCCCAGCTCTGCTCCTCATAACCTGGCTCCAAAGCACAAGGCACCCCCTAGCACTGATGCTTCCAAAATTCACAGAAAACATCCGATTAAGGAACTTAAGTTCTTCTAAAAAAAAAAAAAAAAAAACAAACAAAAAACCAAAACCCTGATGGTGCCAGCTTGCTCCGAGCTGCACACAGCAATTAGCATCATCTTCAGGAACATTTCCACGTATGTTGGGGTGCAATCCATCCCTCCACCAGCTCTTCTCCCCACCCAGGGATGGTAAGGAACAGAGATCCAGGCTGGTTCAGAGAGTTAGAAGACAGTGACAGCTCTGTTAGCACAGCACGGCACACAGAGGCATGCAAGAGGAACAGGCAAGACCTGGCTTTGGGGGAAGCCCTGGGCTCCCCTGTTTCGGGGAGCAGGTACCTTGGCCCTCCAGTCCAAGTGGCATCTCAGCCTCGGGCCGCTGCCAAAAGTCTCACGAGGTGCTCAGGGTGGCAGACAAAGCCCTTCCCCAGCCCGGCTGCCAAAAAAAGCCAGCGGAGGCTTGGCAGCTCTGTGGTGAGGCAGCCAGCAGCCGAGCGAGACGAAGAGGGGAGTAAATCCTTGGGCAGGACACGCGGGTGCTGAGCTGTCTCCTCCTCGCAGCGGGCTTCAGCAGGACGCCAAGGTCATCGATGTCCCCTGGACACCGAGCCAGCTCGACACCTCCGTCCCAGAGGCTGGAAGGCTTGAAGAAGCCCATGAGGTGCTGCGGCCCCCGTCTCATCCCCAACAGGTTTTAACAGGAGATGCCAAGGTCTGGAGGGGCAGAAGGGCTTCCCCTGCCCTCGCTCTGCTCTTTCAGCTGGTGACTTCCAGCGGGGCAGCCTTTGGAGAGGCAAAGGCAAACCCGCCCCAGCCCTTCCCCGCCCAGCGACTCACGCATCCAGAGGTAGTAAAGCCGCTTGGCCATGGTACGGTGCTGCGGTGGGATCTCCGCGTCGAAGTCCTGGTAGAAACATGGCTTCAAGGGGATGAACCTCGGCAGGGGAGGGAAGTTGTTCACTTTTTCTGCAATAAAAAGTTTCACCGGCGTTGAGCACTGCACGGAGCTGCGCGTCAATCGAGGGTCTTGTTCAGCCCCAAGAATTGATGAGTTTCATGCAGGAATTAAGGATTTCCCCTCCTAATCACTAACCACCCACCCATAAGCATCAAGACAATTTTAGCCCTCTGTGGCCACGTGGATCCTGCAAGCGTGGACACCCGCACCCCCACTGGGCACTAATGAGGTGACATTATGGCCAGTAAAGCCCCAGATGGACTTCAGAGGCGAGGGGCAGCCCTGACGGAGACCCACCCCGTACCTGCCATGCTGGCACACGCTCAACCTCTCCGATCCACAGGAGAAGTAGGGAAAAAAACCCTGGAAGCTTTACTAAAGCTGGAGGAAAAGGAGAGAAAAAGTGAAGTGGTCAGGTACCTCCCTGAAGAGCCTTCCCCTTCCCGCCCCCCCCCCCTGCTCCAAAACAGCTCAAGGACAGCACTGTAAGAAGGCAGTTTGCTTTATTTACACAGACAATCTACACTGTTCAAACATCCAGGCTTACTCCTGGCACCTGGCTGACAGCAGGATAAATCCCAGCTCCTACAGCCGAGGCTTATGCACCCATAAAAGCAGAAGATTAAGAGAAGATCCAGCGATGTGGGGCAGGGCGCGGGCTTAACCTACATCCAGCCCTGGGAAAGGGGCCAGGCTGGATGGCAGGGAAAGGGACACGGCCCCACGAGTGATGAGGCAGCTGTGGGCAGTCTGAAATCCTCAAGTTCATTCCCTGGCCTCAAACCAATTTTTGTTTGTTTGTTTGTTTGCAAAGAGTTCCAGCACAGGGAACTACCTGGCTGTCTCCTGACAGCACTGCAACTCCCATCTCTGCAAGCCCAAGCCAGAAACCAGGACAAAAAGGGAGCAGGGAAATCAGCTGAAAATATCAGCTGGGAAAAAAAAAAAAAAAAAAAAAAAATCAGTGGTGATTGTCACTAATGAGTCACTTGAGTGCTGGCTTAATGATTACTCATGTCATTTGGCACCTTGTGCAGTATCTTGCAGGTGGGAGCTCAGCATCCCAGACCAGTCCCAGACCCTGCCACACTCAGCCCTGTCCCAGCAGCGAAAATTAAGCAAAATTAAAGCAAAAAAAATTAAGAGCCGAGGTTTTCAGTATAACTCCGCGTACCCACGCCTGCCAGCACGGCTCCACCAGGCTCTGCCCGCAGGTTTTACTCTCCCCGAGGCTACCTCGGGCAGAGGCACGGCACAAGCGAACACGTTTCTCCCGACGCAGGGTCCCAGCGGTCATGGGGGTCTCTGCCAGGGCAACCCTCCCACGCACACCCCCACTCACCCACCCACCCAGCGCCAAAGGCGCCGGCCAGGCAAAGCAAACCCCCCACGGCTCGCTGGCGTGCTGTCTCCCGACATCCGACGGCAGCCCACGGAGGACTCCATCCCCCCGGCGCTATAAATACGAGCTGCCTGCCTGCCTGCGCGGCTGACGTTTCCCCAGGCAGCGGCTCCGCGACGCGGCCCCCCACGCACGTGTACGGGGAGTGGGGACACGCACCGAGCCTGTCCGCCCCCCGCTCCCGACCCGACCCCTGCCCTGGTGCTGCAAGAGCTTAGCGAAAACGAGAGGCCGCTTTTGCAAAATCGGGGGAGAGGGGCGAATTTGGGGGGGGGAAAAGGCTTTGCAAAACGGGGGGGGCGGGGGGAGCTTTTGCAACGAACCCCACGGGTGATAACACCGAGGAGGAACCCCAACATCGCCTCCGGGTGACTGGGACGCCAGCCCCACGGTGCGATGCTCGGGGAGGGCAAGCGGGGCCCGGCCCCGGCAGGGATTGATGCTGGTGGGTTTCCACGGGCGACAGGCCGCGTACCCCACGCACCGCTCCCCCCCCCCCTCCACTCACACCCCGGCCGGGTGCTGCCTTCCCAGCAGCGGCCTGGCCAGCCGAGGACAAACCTTGCCCGACGCTCGGGCCCCGGCAGGGACAGTACCCACGCGGGTGCGGGCGGCCCCGTGGGCACATTCACGCCGCACCACACCGCCCCCCTACCCCAAGTGGGGTGCGGGGAGGGGGGGTGTCGGTGCAAAGGGCAATCGTTCCCTCTAGGGGAAGCATCCCACCGCTCCCCCCTCAAGCACCCCCTCCCTCCCCACGGCCCGGGACTCACCCGCGTAGCGTAGCGTGGCGTGGCGTGACCAGACCCGTCCCGCGGCGGGTGGCGGCGGCCGCCCGCCCGCCTGGCGCTGCTCCTGCCGCAGCAGCCGCGCTCTCGCGAGACTGCGCCGCCGCCGCCCGGCCGGCCTATGGGACGCGCCGAGATCTCGCGAGAGCCGCCGCTGCCGCTGTCCAGGGTCCTGCTGCCGCCGGCGGGGAGGGGCGGGGCCTTGGGGGGGCGGGGCCGAGGGCAGGGGGCGGGGCCCCACGGGGTTGGGGATGCTCTATGGGGTGGGACGGGTTCTATGGGGTGGTGGGGTCTCCACGGGGAAGGGGTGAAGTAATCCCTACCCGGGGCCGGGCAGACCCTCTGTTGGGCATGGTAAGCTCCACACGGGTAGGAGGAGACCCTCTGTGGGGCAGAAGCCCTAGGGGACAGAGCCTGGCCCGGGTCAGAACAGCTTGCCTGTACCCCAAAAGCTAAGGAGAGCCTGCAGGTCCCACCGGCAGGACCAAATTTAGGGGACCCCGTGTCCACAGCCTGCTGCACTCCAAGACGGGGTCCCTCAGCGCCAGTGTCTGCCCGCCCTGCCCTGCTCTCAGCTTTGTGTCACAGCTGTCACGCTGTCCAGCATTTTGGGACAACTACTACTTTTTAAGCCATCCTTAGCCATCCTTTAACCAAGCACCACGGAGCTGCAGCAGCAGGTAACGCACCCACACGCAGCTCACACATGTACACGCTTTGTGGCGTGCACCCTGCCAAAAACACAGGAGTTGTGCTCGCAGGGCACAGGCTGTTTGCCATCGTCTGCAAGTGAGGTCAGGGAAGTTCGTATTTTAATGAGAAAACAGCCTAAGAAAGCCCAGGCGCTGCAGTGAGCATGCTGGCAGTACAACAGGAGTTATTTCTCCCTCTGGGTCGCCACCAGTCCCACTCCCAGGGCTGCTGGAGGAGCTGCCCTGCGGCTGATTTTCCCCATCTCCCAGTTCAGCCATGCAGGGCTGCTCCCTGAGGCATCAGAAATCCCACATCACTTTTCCCAAGAGCAGGAAGTTTTCCACTGTCCCAGGCAGGCCTGAGGCCACCGTCCCCATCACCCTGCCTGGGTTCCCACGGTGGCCTCCCTCACACCCCGCGCTGCTCTGTGGAGTAATTAATGGCTTGCACGAAGGGCAAAGTGTATGTCGATTGCTTCTGCCAGCGGTGCTGAGGTTGGGATGCAAAGGGCAGGGGAAGGGACTGGATTGACTCGCAGGTGGTCTAGGACAGGGACAGAAAGCTCCTAAAGGGGACAGAAATCCCAAATCAGCCTGAGGACCCCAAGCAACATGAGGAGGATTCTGTAGGCTGCGTCGCTTGTCCTCAGCGTCATTGCAAGGAGCCCTGTCCAGGCCTCTTGGACCTCCTGCCTCGGTGCTTGTGAAGATGTCAGTGCAGTGACATGAAACTGGCTTTATTTGACAACTAAATCATCCTCCCTTCTCAGCCTCCGACCTCGAGCACCAGCACACCATCGTGCTTTATTGGGCACGGACTGTCGGCAAGGAGAGTGTCCCACCGTGGGAAGGTGTGAAGAGCAGGGCAGGGAAGCAGCTAAATCCTTCTGCACAGCAGTGAGTCCCGGTCACCAAACACCCTCGGCGGATAAACAGCATCACTCTGTGGGGATGCCAGGAAGGAAACCTGGCAGAAACAGGGAAAACACCTACTTCACAGATGGTAAAATAGAGGGAAGCAGGAAAATAAGCTTGCCACAAATGACCCCATATCTGAGGACCCAGCTGTCCCCTCCAAGCACTTTCTGGGTCTTGGCCCCTGAGCTGTTGTACCCTGCAGAGAGTGGGACCCCCGTGCATCCAGCTCCGTCCCCTGCACGACGGCAGGAGAGCAAGGGGAGGCACACAAACAGCAAGGGGAGAAGGTTGCGGATCCCCACTCTTGACAAGCGCTGCCGCTCGCCCACGTGTGAGACCTCACGGGGGTGCTCTGAGACCTGGAGAGCTGCGCTGGCTCTGCCGGCGGGCATCGGTGCACCCCGCGGGCATCGAGCACCCCGGGGACTGGCCGCAAGCCCCAGCCCCGCTCCCTGAGGAGGATTCCCTGGCAGACTCAGCTCAGTCCCCGTTTCACCACGGTTCAGCTGCGAGATCCCACCCTTGGGGCCGGGACATTGGGAACTGCTTCATGCCCCTTATTTCTCGAGCTTTTGCTCATCTAGATTTGCTCCCTACCCGCTTCTTTGCCTGCCTCAGGTCCCCCAGCACCTTCCCAATTCATTAAGACTTCAGGGATGGCTAACTGCAGAGCTGCTCCTTGCCCCCGGCATCACAACATTTCCATCTGCCTGCAGGCTTTACAAGAAGAGATATTCAGAAATCAAAGGGATGCATGCTCCCTTTGCCCACGGGGGATGTCTGAGGAGCCAAGGGGATAACACAGGGCCAGGGTAAGAATCTCACTGCCCAGTGCTCATCCCACCCCACCTGAGCGGGACAGGCTGGGGAGGATGGTCAGGTTCAACCAAGAGTCCAGATCAGCCAGCAAGTTCACAGCAATCAGACGGGTTCAAAGCCAAACCATGAAGTCAACCTGCAGATCAGATTCAAGGTCAGTTCGTGGTTTACAGCCTAGTCCAGACCTGACACAAAGGTAACTGCAGCTGATCTAGAGACCAGCCACAACATACTTTAGACTAGGACTAAGATCCCTGAGCTGATCTTAAATAGAGTTCCTGAGCCACTGGCAGGATGGGGGTGGGGGGGTCCCAGGTGGGGCCATTAGGGTTTATTAACACTCTCAGAGCCCTTACTGTGTCCCCTGCTTATTGTGCTGGGGCTTTGCAAAGGGACTTATCCCATAAAAAGATTTTTTTCTGTTTTTTATTGCCTGCCCACTCAAAATAAGGATTATCTCAAGCTCAGCCATTTTCTCTTTGCGGTAGAGACAAGGGGTTTCTCTTGCTGGCTCAGTTAGTGGAGAGCTGGTGCCACTCTAGGATGCTCCTGGGGTTCCTCTGGCATTTGGGACAGCCCCTGCACCCCAGGGAGCCTGGAGTCACATCCTGGTGATGTGCAGTGGCTCCTGGTTCCTGTTTAGGATCGGGGCAGGGCATTCCTGCAGCTGTAGCACCGTGGGGGTCCACGTGCACCCCCTCCTCTCCTCTCCCCAGGGCTGCAATCAGCTCGGACATCAGCCTGCCGCCGCGTGCAATGTGATGAGAGCCTGAGACCTGAGCCGGGCCGATGTGACGCAGAGATGGATGGCGGCACCGAGACTTTCCTTGTATCGGATGCTTCGACTTTCCGACCCGCTCCCATGCAGGGCCAACTTGGATGAAAGAAAATATGGAGAGGGCAGGTGGAGGACAGGGGCTCGGGTTACTGCTCCTCTCCAGCTGCCCTGCTCTCTGTTAGGAATATGTTTCTGGGTTTTTTTCCCCCTTTCCCAGGCTTGGTTGGGGCCGCTGTCAACCCTGTCTGTGTGCTGTCCCCTGCGGCCCTCTCCATCCCGGCCGCTGCCAGCCCTCCTCTTGGCTCCTCTGCCGAACCGCCCTTCCAAGCCCACACCTCCTGTGGGGTCAGGGCCAGGCGAGACGGTCCCACGGGGATGGGGAAGCCCCCTGGGATGGGACCCCCAGCCCGGGGGGGTGCTGGCACCCCGTGGCACTGGGACATGGGATGCTCAGAGAGAAACTGTAATGGGGAGAGGGAGGAAGAAACCAGTCCCTGGGTCCCAGGGTGACCGGAGTGGATGTTCAAGGAGGACAGACAGATGATACGCAGGGTGTTATTGCTTTATTCCTATTTTTTCTCCACTTTTGCCTTTGCAGCTTGCCTCTTCTCCATTTTAAACAACTCCCCATCCTCTTTCCCAGTGCTTTTTTGCCTAGTCCCCCCATGGCTGGGGTTGTCTGTGCCCCATCCCCGCTCTCCTCCCTCTCCCACCCCGCTGTTCGCTGCGGCTGAGCTCATTTCAGCTATTCCTTCACTTGGAAAAACCAATCCACTCTGTTGTGCTCCAACAAATAAGCTGACAATGGCTTCAGATGGTAATTAGCAATGGAGTTGCTAATAACGAATTGCATTTACATTTTAAGCACTGCAGAGGGAAAGCAAGACCCTGTCATTAATGCCCACCCCACCCCCCCCCCCCGGCTCCCCTGCAAGGCAGCCTTTGCCTTGGGGGGAGCGCACCCTCCGCAGGGTTTGAGGGATGCAGAGAGGCTTGGCCGAGATTGCACCTCATCTGCCTCCATTTCAGAGGCTGCAATAAGCAGAGTTCGTTAAGCAGCAATTAGAGGCGGGGGGTGAAGGGGGGAGAGTGGGGGGGGAAAAGCTGCTGCCGCTTCCATCATCCGACGGGTGGCGAAGGCGCCGCAACGCCACGAAAAATGGGCCATGGGAGGCGGGAGCTGGTCCTGGGCCAGGAAAGAAGGGGCTGGAGGGTTCACCCAGCACCAGGGATTCATCCGGCTGCAGGCTCAGCGCCGAGCAGCCGCAGCTCGCCTGGAGCCCTGGCGCTGTCGGCCCTTGGTGCCCGCGTAACCCTCCCGTGCTGCCGGCGGCTGTTTGCACACCTGAATAACAATTCCGAGGGACTTCTCAGCTCCCTCGGCTGCACATGCTCTTCAAATTGTTGCTAAAATCCTTCCCGATTATATTCCTAGGGGTTTAGCATCTTTTGAAGGCATCAATTTCCCTGAGAGGCTTAAACCATCCCTCCCTGCCTGAGGAAGGAGCCAAATGCCTTCTGCAAGGATGCCACAAATAATCCTCAAGCGGAAAGGGGGAAAAATGACATTGTTTCGTCTCGTACGAGCGAGGGATTCATGGTGGAAGCACAGCGACTAGGCGTGCTTCCTACTGCAGAGCGCCAGGTGGGACTTGGGGGGATGCTCAAAGCCTGAATCTGCCGCTGGTGCTGGGGGTGAGCCCGGGAGCGTTGCGTGCCCTGCCTCAGTTTCCCTCTCTGCGCCAAAAGGATCTCATGGGGTGTTAGCTGGATCAGGAAAAGATGCTCTCCATCCCCGTGGGTTTTCCAGCAGAGCGGGGCACTGCTCTTAGATGGAGCATCCCATCCCACATGGGTGAGACCCTGGTGCTGTCCTCCCGTCGCCCACAGACCCACCCAGACTCCAGTCTGGTGGTTGGATCAGGGGGTGTCCCATACCCACCCCCCCATTTAGGGCAGTGGTACCGAGAAAGCTGTTCTGGGGGGCACGGAGATGCGGGGGTTTGCCCCAGCCAGGAAAGGATGGCTGCATCTTGCCTTGCCACAGCCTTCACCTCTGTGGGCATCGGATCGATTGATTTATTTATGTATTTTTTTCAAGCCCTGCTTGGAGTGAAAACAATCCAGGGGCCTCCAGAGGCCGATAAGATTTGACTGCAAGTCAATACTCGGCATGTCTTTCCACTGTGCAATGATCCCCAGCCAGCGGGGCGGGAGGCTGGGGGTGCCGGGGACGGGCAGGTGACAGGAGCAGGCAGAGGGCCAGCCTGGGGCAGGGACATCGCCTCAGCCCGGGGAAGGGATTGGGGCAGAAAGGGGAGATTTTCTGGCCTGCAAGAGTTATCTCCTGGGATGCTCAGGGGCTCAGGCAGTAAATATGATGGTGACCCCACGGTGGGCAGCTCCATTTCGGGGACATGGAGATGAGCAAGGGACAGGCTCTGGGAGAGCAGCGGGGAGAGGGAGGGATGGGGAAGGAGGAGTAGGGTGAGAAATCACCCGTGAAAACCAGCTCTGCCGTGACATCTGCTCCTCGGGGCTTTTGGGAAGGCGAGGTTTTCCTGTGGGGAGAGCCAGGGCTGAGGCTGCATGGTATCAGGGGGGAGCAGAGCCCCGGCATGCTCGGTGCATGCCTCAGCCCCACAGCCGGTCGGACAGGCAGCCGGGCACGGCCGTGATGCCATCTGCCAGGACTTCTCCTGCCTGCAGGTCCCAGGGCTGAAGTAGCTTCCCCGGTGGCTAATAAGGACTGAGCTCAGGCTGCCAGCTTTCCCCAAGTACCTCCTGCATCTCCGTGCCATCCCTGGGCGCTGCGTGGCTGGGACTCCTCATCCCTCTGGGGCTGCTGCCAGGGTGGGGGTTCAGGAGGGGCAGGCAGGCAGGCCGGCTGCCCGCGCTCTGCTGACATTCCCAGTTAGCAGTTGGCGTCCTTGAGCGGAGCAAGCACCGAGAGAAGGGACCAGGTTCTCTTTAAGGGGGCAGGACTCCAGCAGCATCATGAAGGGAAGAGTGAGCTGCTCCCTCTGCCTTTCACCTTCCCTTCCCTGCCTGCTGCTTCCCTGCCTGCATGCTCCCGGCCGGGGACCAGGGCTCCCTGCCCACCCCTTCGCCTTCTTCCCTGGCTCTCGGTGCTGGGCAGGGATGAAGGCAGGAGCTGGGTGCTGGGATGGGAGGCTGAGCGAGGGGAGGAGGAGGAGGAGGGGAGGAAGGGGAGGGAGAGGGGGAGGATCTGCTAATTACACAGAACAGCTCTGGGGGCTGCTGAAGTCCAGAATGAAGCAAAGAGCAGCAGAAGCGAGTGCTGCAGCGGGAGCAAAGGAGCCCAAGCATCACCAAGAGCTGGAGCCGGCTGCTGTCCCCACCGGGAGCAACGGGGGGCACCCAGGGGATCCTGCAGCCCCGTCCCCCCGGGGGACAGCCTCTGGCACAGCCACCAAGCCCACTCCCGGCCCCCCCGCAGCTAGCCCTGGGCGAGGAGAAGGGAAGGGGCTGTTGGTCCCAGGGACGCAGGGTTAAAGTCGGTCCTCCTGTGGCCTGGGCTGGCGGGCAGCGCAGTCAGCCCTGCCATGGTCCTGGGGGGCTAGGAGCCCGAGTGGATCCGCCGGGAGGGGGTGAAGGATGGCTGCTGAAGGAGAGAGAGCCAAGCCTGTCGCCCAGTCCAGGATGGAGAACTTCCGAAAGGTGAGGACGTCGGAGGAGGAGAGCCCGCTGCCCTTCCCCGACCTGCCCCCAGATGTGGTGGAGATGAAGGTGAAGGAGGGCAGCAAGATCAGGAACCTGATGAACTTCGCCATGGCCCAGATGGAGCTGAAGGGCAGCCGGCAGATCGTCTTCAGCGGTTGTGGCAGGGCGGTCACCAAGACCATCACCTGCGTGGAGATCATGAAACGGAAGCTGGGAGGTCTTCACCAGGTCACCAAGGTACGCTACAAAACCTTGCTGGAGGTCTGGGAGAACCAGGAGCCGCTGCCCGGCGTCCCGGCGCAGAACCTGACCGTCCACAAGAATGTCCCCTCCATCTGCATCCTGCTCTCCCGAGACCCGCTGGATCCCAACCAGACGGGCTACCAGCCCCCGGAGCCCCGGCACGGGCTGGGGACGCAGCTCGGCGATGCAGAAGATGCGTCGGGCTCCTCCGCCAAGGGGCTGAAGCGGCCTCTGCCACCTCCCCACGAGGAGCTGCTGACCAAGAAGCTCCAGGTACAGGTACCCGACAGCCCGAGGGGCTTGGGGACCGCTGACCGCCAGCCGGACCACCACCACTGACCCCACCACCTCCCGCCCCGACCAGCCGTACGCCGGGTTCGTGGGCAGGAATATCCCCCTCCATAGGCAGGAGATCGTAAGCTGGAGAAACTCCGGGGGTATTTTAGCTGCTTTGCTGGGGATAAAAGCAGTGAGAAGCCTGTGTCATGCTTGCTCCGGGGTCCCCCCAACACATCCCCGCGCTCTGCCGCTGCTCCAGCTGACCCCCCTGCATCGGGGGGGTACCTTGTCCCCAGGTTTGGGGTGAGGGTTAAAGGACTGAAGCAGGGGAGGATATGGGGGGGTGGGGGGAAGAAGAGCTGCTGACCCCGCATTCGGCCACCCAGGGGCAATGCCACCACCCGCCACATTTCTGCAGTGACGCCCAGGGAGCCAGAGCACCCGTCGCCTTTCACCGAGGGGTGCCCGGACGGGGGAAGTCGGCTGCCCATCATCGCTCCCCGTTGCGATGTCTCAGCCATCAGGAGAGACGGTTTTGCCCCAAGCCCGCCGGAGTAATGCCTTCATTATCAAAACCACTGCAATTACGCCCGGCGAGGAGCTGTCAGATTTATTAATGCCAGGCTCAGCGCCCCGCAGCGCCGTTATTCATCCCGAATAAAACACACAAACAAGCAGACGGGTCGCTCCTTCCCCGCGCCCGCGGAGCCAAGCGCTGTGCTGCCTGCCTGCGGGACAGCAGAAGAAAATAAAACAACCCTTCTTCTTCTTTCCCCATCAGATATTCAGGTCTTTGCTCTCCCGGAGGTTTTTGTAGGGACTGGAGCTGGGGTGAAGCCCCGGTGTCGGGAGCTGGGGGCAGTGGGAACGTTAGGTGGGCTGTTGTTACGGCTGGATGCGGTGCCCGATGCGGGACGGGGAGGTTTTGGGGTCGTGAGCTTGGCTGCAGAGCCCTCACCACGGGCTGGCTCCCTGGGAAAGCTCTTGGGAGCAAAATCCCTGCTTCTTCCAGCGGGTAAAGGGAGAAATTATGAATGGAAAATAAAAGCTCTTTAGAAATAGCTGAAATGTGTCTACGGGAAAATGGGGGCGGGGGGGGGATCATGTTGGCTGCTGACCAGCGAGGGCGGCTGCTGTGACCCAGGACAAGGGGATCCCTGCCAGATCCTTGGTGGGATGGGATCAGGGCGTCCTACGTGCCCCGGCAGCAGGCTGGCCCCCGCCGGCACGGCAGAGCCTGGCAAAGCCCCCGTGCCCGCGGGGAGGGCAGGGGATGCATTACGGGGGGCCAAGCAAGCCCCGATCCACCTGGCTCCCCTTCATCCAGCCCAGGCAGCCCCCGGGGGCACCGCGGGAGGAATTAAATCGGTATTAAAGAGCGTGCCCTTCCCAAAAGCCAGCCGGGAGGGACGCTCCGGCTGCAGCTGCTTTATCTCCCCACCTCACTCCCGCTCTCCGGGGATGGCATGCATCCCCTCTTTTGTCAAGGGCTTGCTTGGCAAGCGCTTTGCTTGGCTGGGAGCAGGAATGAAAGGCGACCAGGGGAGCGAGGAGGAGGAGGAGGAAGCAGGGGTCTGTTTTGTTTGGCGATGACCTTGTTATCTCCCTCAGCAGTCAGCTGCTCCTCCGTGCCAGAGGCTTGCGCTTATCTGGCCTGCCACGGATTGATTCACTTCACTTATCTGCCACCGCGCAGTTGAACAGTAATTTCCAGTTGTTATTTTTTTATGATTATTTTCTGTGGGCTTGGGGCTGGGAAAGCTTTGGGCTGTATCCCACCCAGTGATTGCTCTTCCCAGCCTCCTCTCTCTGGGTGAGGCTCAACCCTCTGCCCCACATGCGAGCCAGAGCACCAGCTATGGGCTCCTACCCCAAAATGTACTTAAAAATCATGCTAATAAATAAAATCCTCCATAAACACTTTGATCAGAGCCTAAAACTGTCACAGCCACGCAGCCGAAAACTTACAGCCCTTCACCTTTCCAATCCTGCCCCACTGCTGCCGTCCCACATTGCTCCCGGCGAGGGGAAAAAAAAGAAAAATAAAATCACTCATTTTGCTTCATTATTTTGTTAACGTGCAAAATTCTTTTTAATTGATTTTATATGCGCTCAATTTCCAACCTTGGAGGCAACTGGAGCCTGGGGATTTTGCACTTCTCGCTTTGCTGGCTGCGGACCAAGGATTTCCTGCATGAAAAAATGGTTGAAAAAAAAAAAAAAGACTAACCCAGGATATGAAGCATTTAAAATAGCACGATGACATCTGGCTCCACAGGGTTCTAAGGGGACATGGCAAGCAAAATTATCGCGACGATCTTGCGCTGCACCACCGAGGGACAGCCCTAAGCGCCTGTGAAAAACGATTTTGGGGGTGACTTTACGGGTCCAGCAGCAGCCTGTGTCGCGGCAGGTGAGCAGGTGGCTGGGCCAGGCCTACCCTCCTGCCGGATGGGGTGATGGAGGCTGAGGGCAGCCCGCTGCCGTCAAGGCCTCCCAGGTGTGGGGATCAAGATGTGACGGAGGCTGCTCCAGGAAGCCTTGGGGAGCTGCTGGATGCTGCGGCCAGGGGCAGGCTGCGCCCCATTTCCCCCTCACCGGGAAGAGCTCAGGGCGAGCCCCCCTTGCCAGAGTTGGCAGCCCACAGCCATCGCGAGCCGGGAGCGGGAAGGGCCGCGCCGGTGCCATGCTTGCCTCAGCTCGGTTACCGGGGCCACCGGCGGCAGAACAAGCACCGCCCCACCCCTCAATCCGCCCCCTCACAGCCGCCGCGACGGCTTTTGAGGAGAAGCGGAGAAGCGTTACACAGCCACGGCCCTCACCCCCCCCCCCCCCCCCCCCCCACACCCCCCGCCCTCCGTCCCCGCCACAAAATGGCGGCCGGCAGCGCCCTTCGCGGGGCGGGGCGCGCGCCACGCCCCGCCCCCTTGCGGCCCTTCCCGCCGTCACGCGGCGTGTCCCCGCCGCGCCGCCGTACCCGGTGCCAGCAGCCCGCGGCGCGCGCCCCCCCCCGTGCCGCCGCCGCCGCCTCCCTCCCCCCCCGCCGCCATGCTGCCCGCCGCCGCCGCGCTCCTCCGCCGCTGCGCCGTCTCCGGCCTCCGCGCCGCCGCCCGCCGGCCCGCCGGCCCCGCAGGTGAGCAGCGAGCGGCCGCGTCCTTCCCGTTCGCCGCCGCCCTGCCCCGATTCCCACCCCCCCCCACCCCCCCCCCCCCCGGTTCTGCTCGGCCCCGGGGCCCGGCCGTGTCCTTGCAGTGACCCGCCGGCCTCACTCGAGGGCAGGCCGCGCCTGCGGGCCTAGTGCGCGCCGCCTCCGCCGGGCCCTGCCGCTGCCCCGCTCCCGGTGGCACCCCCACACCACACCCCCCCCCCCCCCCCCACCGCCGTTACCGGCCCCGCCGCCTCCAGCGGGCGGTCGGGCCCCTCCGGGGCTGTGGTGGCGGCGGCGGCGCTCTCCCCGGGCCTCCCGTGAAGGTGACATTGAGGGAGGTTGGCGGTGACCTCCGCCGCCGGGCAACCGGGCTGCGGCCCCGGCGGCACCGATCCCCCCCCGGCCCCGCTCCAGCGCCTGCCCACCTCTCCTTCTCCTTCGTTATTAACGCCCCAAGACCTGTTAGGAAGAGGAAGAAAAGCAGCCACGCGTCTGAAGGCTGACCGGGGAACCAAAGCTAGAACGCTGAGACTGCAAAGAAGGCAGTGCCTGTGCAGCGCAATTAATAACTAATTAACAAACAGCGACCGTGGGTAGAATGCTCAGACACCTCCGTGCCTCTCCTGTAGCATCTGTCCATTAAACAGTTGCTCTAGGGAGTGTACTGCAGCATTTGAAAAAAAAAAGTAATGGATGCTGGTTGTTCAGTATGCATGCTGGGATTTCTTGGATACTTCTTAAACCCCTGTTTGTTTGTTTGTTTGTTTTTCATTTAAATCCATTAAAATTCCTCTCTCACAGTGCTTTTGTACCCCTCCTGAACCCTGGCAGCTCTGGCCCTCGCTTCTCCACGCCCTGGCTAACGAGCGGGCTCCATGTTCTGCTTTTCCAAGGTCTTGTATTACAAACGTCCCGCTTAACACTTCTGACCCGATTCGCCTCTGCTGGTGGCCTCAGAGGGGGTTGTGTTTCGGCAAATCGAACGTGTTGGGTTCGCCTCGTGCGCCCGTCGGTTTAGGTTTACGTTATATAATGCTGCAAAATCTTCTGTATGTAATGCACATGCACCCCCGGGCTTCTTGTTTCCAGCCTCGCCTTTTTCAGTAAATTATTGCTCCTCTGGATGCATGTTTTTCTTCTGTGCTCATTAAGAGGGAAAGCTGACAAATTCCAGCACTTTTACACACGTTTGTGTAGTATTAGGTGATTTTAGGCTTCTCAGACTTGCGAAGCTTGTTGAGGTCTCTTGAAAACATGTCTCTGCAAACATACTTGCCCTTTGCTTCTTCCTTTGGTTGGGAATCCCCACACGGATGGGTTGGCGTGGTTTGACTGTCTCACACGCTTTGTGTGTGTGTGTGTGACCGTGACCTTGATGGACCCTGCTGAAAAGCTGAGAGGCACCCAGCTCCTGCAGCGCTTCTGCTTTGCCGCCTGGCTCTGAGAGTCTGGTCTCCAGTCTCTAGTTGCAAGCGTTAGTATAGAAAACAAAGGGTGGTGAAGAAACGTGGCAGCAACTGAAAAATGCATCCACAGTTTAAGTGCTTGTGGTCTTTTTTATTTTTCTTCAGGATCCTTTTAGTCTAACCAAGTTGTTTGTTTGTGTAAGACTAAAGGGAATGGTTTTGTTCAGGGCTCAGTGAAAAAAGACTTTAGTTTTTTTGATTTAATGATGGCATTTGAGAACTTCAAGGCTTTTCTCAAACTGAGATTTGCTGTTTCTTTGTAGTATTTGCTTTGTGTTTAGGGAAAAAAAAACATTCTCCCCAAAACAGGCAGCATCTGAGGGCTTTTCAGCAGTATCCTCTCACTCCCTGCCTGCATGCAGGAGCATTTACAGAGGAGTGCTCTTACTCTGAGCTCAGCTGTGCGTGTGATTTATTGGAGAAAGCAGGGCCAAAGGTCTGTTTTGGAGCTGGGGAGAGGATGGGGAGTCTTCCCACAGAACAGCAAAAGAGCACCTTCATTCTGGCTTGATCTGTCATTTACTTTTACTTTTCCTTTTCATTTATCTACATAACTAGGTAGATGTTGCAGACCAGAACTGCAGCTGAAATGTTGGACCATGTTACATTTTCTTAAAAATCTGGATTGCATTCTGATTGGGCTGATATTTAATGAGACTAAAGATACTCCTTGAAATTGTGGTTTGTTCCAGTATATTGTACATAGAACCAGGAAGCTGCTTTGCGGTATGCTGTTCACTATGATCTTCAAAGTATATCTGTGCACGATGCAAAAACACAACCCAGTTTGGGACTTTCTTCTTTTAAATAAAACTTCATTGTTGGTCAGCATGAGTATGAGTGGTTCATGCTAGGTTAAGAAAGAAAAAGTGACTAGCTATATCTGACTTCCCCTGAAGCAGAGCTTCAAACTTGCAAGGTCATATCTGGTGTATGACCTCTCTGCAAATACTAGTGGACTGAAATTATCAGCGGGGAAAGGAAGCAGCCTCTAGGCAGGCTTGTGTTCTGGCGGCAAGGCAGCTTGCAGGGTGCTCAGGCTTTGCAGAGAGGACCCAGTACAGCTCTGATGCGGGTGGAGCTGGCTGTACCCTAGGTTTTGGTTCCTTTTGGAAAACTGTTGCAGCCTTTCTGGGTTAAAAAAAGACAAGACCCAAAAAAAAAAAAAAAAAAAAAAATGCAATTTGTGATAGAGATGAGGGAAGAAATGAGTTCACAGTCACATCAGCCTTATTTGTCCATTGGACTACCAGTCCACTTTAGTGCTTTATTAATTATCAAATATTAATGCAATTACAACCTTTAGGTCCAGGAGTTTCATCTTGGATAGACACAGAGACAGTGGTGGGTTTTTTGTCCTTCAGTAGTCTGTTGGAAAAAAATGGCTCTTGTCTCTTTTCTTTTGAGAGCCTTTATAGTTGGGCTCAGGTCATTTTGTGCAGATTCCTAAAATCACTTCAAAACCAGCCTTCATCAGCTCTGAACTCATGGTAGAATAGAAGATCTGCAGCTTGTTGCTGTTGAGTCATCGATCAAAGTCAGTCCGTTGGTTGGGAAATCTGCTTTTCCTGGATTACAAAATTGGTTATGGAGCAATTTCAGGAGTAGGAAGTTACTCCGGAATTAACCAGCATATTCATCTTAAGTGGATAGCAGTATGACTAAGGGTATAGGGGCTTATTTCTGGGAGGAATGACACTGAAAACCAGATTCACGTAGCTAAACTCACTGCATGGGCAAGTCCTGTGTTTTTGAGAAGGGTTGAATATGGGGAACAGAATGACTGTGCTACTTTGGAAGTTGATGAAGTACATGTTGGTTATGTTTCTCTGGCTTGTTTGGCTTTGGGAAGAGGGAAAATTCCTGTATCGTACAGAAACATGCATCTCTGAATACTTCTCCTAAGGACTGGTTATACAGAATTGTTTTTCTCTTGCATTTCCCCCTCATTAAATAATCTCGCTCTGACCAGAGGATCTGGGTACACTTTGGAAGTCTGATGCAGAACACAAAGTATACACTTTGCCACAAAACAAACAACTGATTTTTAATGAGCTATATTCATCCAGTGCTTATCCTGACTGACCGTAATGAGTGAAATATATTTTTTTATGGCTTTTGGTCTCTTGGTCAGGGATAAAGTACAGTTATGTTCTCTTTGCTCAAAATCTCTTCCTTTCTTTTTGCATTCAGCTGTACTGCATGCCCGCTGCTACTCCCATGGGTCACAAGAATCAGACGAAGAATTTGATGCTCGCTGGGTGACGTATTTCAACAAGCCAGATATTGATGCCTGGGAGCTCAGGAAAGGTATGTTGAGTGAAAAGGGAAGAGTAACACGGAGTAAATATAACTGCTTTGTAATAGTTTTGTGACCAGAAATAACAACTTATTTTTACTTTGCTATTGGAGAGTGGAAGTAGAGAAAACTGGGAGCTGGTGTAGGAGAAGCGATCCTGTAAATACCCAGTCAGGGCAAGGCACTATGTGAGCCTTATTTGTTCTGAGTTATCTGGCTGCTCCACGTGTGCCTGCGGTTTGTGTGCTGCTGTTTGCTCAGCACTGAGCCTGTTGCAGCAGGTGATGGCACCTCACCAACCAAATAGGTGGGTTGGGAGGAACCACAGCATGCAGAATGAGGGAGGGTGGGGGTACAAGGCAGTGGGTGTCCGGGCTTTGTAAGTTTTAGTGCCCCAAAATACACGTTTTAACACCTGGGTGGGAGGGAGAAAAAGTTTTGCATTAAGGAAAGTGTATTTGAACTCAGCTGTTGCTTAGTGTATAACCACACACATTTTTTTTCTTTGGACTTTGACTTAATGGCTTAGCCATAACTTATTGTAGGCTGTTCAGTTGTCTGCAGTTGTTATTTGCTGTGGAGTTGCCAGCCTCCTATTAAACTACTCTAATTAGGGCTTAAAAATGTGTTTGTGTAACAGCCAGAGGGATCATTCCAGCATCACCTGGATAATTAGGTATTGGGATCTTCTCTTGGAAAGGAGTAGACAGCAGCTGGAGTTCTTGTTCCATTACACCTGTAGGAATTAAGTAATTTGGATTTCTTAATGATTCCATGACTGATGTGCTGTGGTACAGACACTGACTACTTTTGGGAGCATGGATGAAACTGTACCACTGGGATTTTGTAAAGTCCATGTAAAATCTTAACATTTACAGTAGTAAGCAACAGTGAGAGGGAGAAGAGTAAAAGAAAACCCATGGTGCTGTGTGTGTGTCCTCAAAATAGCAGTGAAAATTGTAATCAGCTTCTAATGGCGACTGGTAGTGTGGTAATACTTAATTCTTTTGTGAGGTGTGGAGCAAAAAAATGCTCGGCAGCTTCTTTTTGATAGCACAACGAGCTGATGCCAAGTCCCTCTTGGTGTTTCCTTATATTCACAGGTATAAACACGCTTGTGGGTTATGACCTGGTTCCGGAACCAAAAATCATCGATGCAGCTCTGAGGGCATGCAGACGGTTAAATGACTTTGCCAGTGCTGTCCGCATCTTAGAAGTTGTAAAGGTGAGTGGAATGGCTGCCTAAGGTGTAACTGCTGTGCTGGCATTGCTGAGAACCCAGCAGTGGAAGGGTTTTTCTTGGCTTACTGCTAGTGGTGCAAAGGGAAACCGCTATTTCCTGCTGCCAGAACCAATAGCTTCATTATGAGCCACATGCTCGGTGGCTTGAAATAATTGTTTTGAGGTACGAGGTCTGAACAGCACAGCTTCAAGTATAACATTCTTACGTTCCTATTTTTCTTTCCTGATGCTGACTCTGGTGGGAAAGTCTTCAAGGAATTTTCTTCCCTTTTTTTTAAGGAAGCATTACTAGAAATATCTCAAGTGGAGGCAGCTTATTGGCTTCTTAAAGGACTGAATACTGAGCCGGCTGGAAGAGTAACTCAGGAAGCTGCATAGCCTTGAAAAAACATAAACCAGCACACCTTGAAACCTGAGTCCAGTCTTCACTTAACACAGTGTTAAGTGGGTGGGGATGGAGGCAGGAGTTCTGTTCTAGTCGTAGAAGCCAGCAGCAGTGCTCTTCCAACTGTTTTTTGCCACGAGTGAGGACTGACCTGGAGGTCTTTGCTGCTAGCAGTCAAATACACTTGCTTCAAAATTTACTCCACAGTTAGTTGCTTCTCAATTTGCCATTTCTGCTTTTTTCATTCTTCTGTAGAGCTGAAACTTTCAGGGGTTTTAGAGATATAAGACCAATTGAAGAGTCTTTGTATGTTTTCCTTATCTCTTTTTTTTTTTTTTTTTTTTTTTTTTCCCCACCATCTCGAGGACAACTCACTTTATTAGAACTTGGGGACAAGTATATGCTCTTCCTGGAGCTCCACCTAAAGATTACTCAGGGGCTGATGTTTTTCCCCTGATTTCCAAGCAAGTTAAATTTTCTCCCAGGTCTGCCCAAAAGCTGACTTTTATATCCAAGCAGTAAAACAAGAAAAATATTTTCATTGCGTTTCCTAAGGTCTAAGTGGTCTTTGGGCTGGTTTGCAAAGCATCCCTTGTTGAAGGAGCGTAGCTTGGCCTTTAGTTTTGGGTAGTGACACACACACGTCACGGGTCACATCAGCCTGATGTTAAGTGAGGGAAGGGTGTCAAGTGTTAGGAATAATCTGCAAATCCGTAAAGGGGAGTTGAGCATTCTGGGGTGCTTTGCAGCCACGGTTGATTGGTGGGAAGACTTTCCAGTATAGCTGTACATGAGCCTTTTTTACTCGATGCCCAGGCAGAGCTGGGCCGTGCTCTCCTGTCCTGCAGGACTTATCCTCGTGAGCAGTAGGTGGATCAGACCACGGACCCTTCTGCAGACATATATCTGATTGCAAACCTGAGCGGTGTGCGGTGGACCTCGACAAGAGCTTGCTGTTGAAATAACATCATCCCTTTTCATTTAGGACAAGGCAGGACCTCACAAGGAAATCTATCCTTACGTTATCCAGGAACTTAGACCAACTTTGAGTGAACTGGGAATCTCCACTCCAGAGGAACTGGGCCTGGACAAAGCATAAACCTTATCGGTAAGGGCTGCCATTGCTTCTGAGACTCTTGGCATGGGACTCCTCTACCCTAAAACACTCCTGGCAAAGACAGAGTCCTCTTCCTTGCCTTCACGGGTCTGTGAAATGCTGTGAAGTTCCAGCTTGTAATGTGATTCTCCAAATACCTCTATAACTACAGGTCTCCTTGAAAAGGTACTAACCCTTTTCAAAGAAGGCTTAGAAGAAGAACAGTGCGTTTAGTTGAGAAGGGATAAGGGTGGTTGGCAACCATACCCAACCTCCCAGAAATTTCTAGATAGCAGTTGCCAAGACAATGGGTATTGCAGCACTTTGCTGTCAGCATCCCGACCTTTGCTTCTCATCAGCTTGTCCCCCAGAAACATTTTTAGCGAATGGCAGGATTGTTTTCACTGGAAATGCACAAATTTTCACTTTACTGTCACAGTCTAGCCAATTTAAAAAACTGAGAGACACTAATTACTAGCTTAAACTAGAAAATGGGCCCCACTGATGGTAGTCACCCAACAACACTGAAGTTTCTTCGTGTTACGCTTAAAATAGCATCTTATTCTGTAATTAAACACTACTTTGGAGGGCCCCTTGCTTACAGAATAAACAGATCAGCTGTAGCACAGCCAGAGCTTAACCAATCTGTGCACAAAATATCCTTTAGCCTCAACAGATAATTTCAGGAGCAGTGCACGTAGTATTTCATCCTGATTGCAGTGGCCTTGAGTCTCAAAGCCACATGTTACGCTGGCTTCTTTGAGCTGAACTTCTGAGTACTTTCTAAACTTGAAAACAACGATAACAGTGACATTTAGATCTCCGTCTTAAATACCAGCCTCTTGCATCAGCTGCAACATACGAAGGTGTTGTTACTGAACAGCGGCTTCTCTGATTAATGAGGATCTGTTGTTAAGTATAGGCAAGACCTAATGTGCTCTAATCCCAGACTAAAATTAAGCCCTAAATAAAAATCGTATTGGAAGTGAAGTTATGTAAGGGCAGGCTGTTAACTCAGTTTCTTCAGGAGATGGCCAGTGTCATACTCTTTTTTTAAAATACTGTACTTAGAATAGAGTTATCGGGTGTCAGGCTGCAAATAGTACTTAATTCTGGATCTTTAAGGCCCTGCCCTTCTCCTTGCTCCGGGATACGATGTTTTGGTGCAAGGGGGTGCTGAGACAGCTGTGCTGGGAACACAGTAACTGCATTTGGGGGCCAAGTATGATTAAACTGGGCTTTGAGCGTAAAAGGGAGCAGTGGAAATAAATCATTTGAGACCCTGTGGAAACTCTGTGGAGATACTGGGTTGCTTCTTTAATGGCTTTTCTGTTCTGTTCCAGGTGCATTACTCAAGCATTTTACTGATGCTACCTGATTGTACACAGTCGCCTGAAGACACAAATGTTAAAATATGAGCTTATTTGAAAGAGCTTCTTCCTTTATTGAGTCACAATATATGTGATGTGAAGTTGGACCTAATAAAGGAAAAACTGGTTTGACTGATGTGGTAGCAGTGGCTTGTGTGATTGTTTCTTCCTTTTCCCCATAAAAGCAAAAATAAACTGTAAAGGTGCTCTCCCATAGGTGCGAGAGCTGATAAATTTGCTTGGCAAAGTGTGTGTCTGTGGCTGCTAGCCCCACCTTCGGGAAGGGAAAGGTAAGGACCTGTCTGGAGGGCATGGTGCCCTTCCTGTGCACACAGCTTTGGGGGAGGAGGAGGAGGAGGAGGACTTCAAAACTCTCTGCCCTCTGAGGACTCATCTCCCTGTGACGAAGTTGGGGTGTAACGAAGCAGCTGAGGTGGGTGGGAGGCTGCTGTTGGCAGGGCTGGGCATCTTCCAGGAGAGAGGCTGCTCTGGAGAGCCTGTTTGCCACCTCGGTTCCAGCACAAGGGGGTGTTTTGGCAAAACAAGTGGGGGGGAAAAAGGAAAAATTTTCAGGAAATTGGAGCAGGGACAGGGTTCCATGCTGCACAGCAGGAGGCGGGCGGGGTCGGACGTCGCGCTGTCTCGCTGCGCATGCGCGGCGGAGGGGCGCACCACCTGCCCGCCTCCCATTGGCTGCGCCCCGCCGCCGAGCGCTGCCATTGGCGTATGGCGCGGGGGCGGGGCGGCGGGCGGCCATGGCGACGGGCGGCGGCGGAGCCGGGGCCGAGGCCGGTACCGGTCCCGGTGCCGGTGCCGGTCCCGCTGCGAGCAGACCCGGCGGGCGGCGGGCACCGGGGGTGCGTGCGGGGCCGGGGGCGCTACGGGGTGTTTGCGTGGGGGATACGGGGCGGGGGTGCGTGCATGGAGGGTATAGGCCCGCGGTACATCCATAGGGGACAGTGTGGGGGTGTGTGCATCGTGGGTATAGGGCTGGGGTATGTGCATGGGGGTGGTATGGGGTATGTGTATAGGTGGTATAGGGCTGGGATATGGGGGTGGCAGTATGGGGTATGTGTATAGGCGGTATAGGGCTGGGGTATGTGCGTGGGGGTGGTATAGAGTACGTGTATCGTGGGTATAGGGCTGGGGTATGTGCGTGGGGTGGTATGGGGTGTGTGCATAGGTAGTATAGCGCTGGGGTATGTGGGGGGGGCAGTATGGGGTATGTGTATAGGTAGTATAGGGCTGGGGTATGTGGGGGGGCAGTATGGGGTATGTGTATAGGCGGTATTGGGCTGGGGTATGTGCGTGGGGGCGGTATAGAGTACGTGTATCGTGGGTATAGGGCTGGGGGTATGTGCGTGGGGTGGTATGGGGTGTGTGCATAGGTGATATAGGGCTGGGGTATGTGTGGGGGGCTGTATGGGCTATATGTATAGGTAATATAGGGCTGGGGTATGTGTGGGGGGCAGTATGGAGTATATGTATAGGTGGTATTGGGCTGGGGTATGTGTGGGGGTCAATATGGGCTATGTGTATAGATGGTATAGGGCTGGGGTGTGTGTGAGTGGCAGTATAGGGGATGTGTATAGGTGATATAGGGCTGGGGTGTGTGTGAGTGGCAGTATAGGGGATGTGTATAGGTGATATAGGGCTGGGGTATGTGTGGGGGGCAGTATGGGGGATGTGTATAGGTGATATAGGGCTGGGGTATGTGTGGGGGGCTGCCTAGGGCTGGGGCATATGCACAAAGGAGCGATGTAGGGGTAGAGCATTTGGCTGTGCGGGGGTACACACGCGGAGGCACGGTGTAGGGTAGGGGCGGTGCAGAAGTGGGGCATGTGCAGGGGGGCTGTATGGGGGGGATGTAGCACGTACAGAGGGATAGAGGGGTGCAGGCAGAAGTTTGCTGCCTGCCCGGTTAATCCCGCTGGCGCGGGCAGCCCCAGCTCCCTGCACACAGAGTCGTTCCCGCTGTAAGGCTCTGCCCTGCTAATTCTGGTTTAAGCACTGAGGCTAATCCTGCTCATGCTCTCTGATCACCACCCCAGGTCCTCTGTGTTGATTCTTCATTAACTGCATCTTCTAATTCCCCATCCCTCCTGCACTGACTCTCCCTGCCCGTTTTCTGATTTTTCCTCTGTTTTCTTCATTAATATTTGTAGAACATTTTTTCTGCCCGCTGTCATTTAGTAGTGCTAGCTCTCCTTGACCATAAAAGCCTTACAGACAGGGAAGGCTTTTCCTTAAAGCCCTGACCCTCCAACCTGATTATATGACACTATTTGTGGTTTAATTATGTAGTTTTATTATTGCATGGGGAGAAGCTTGAAGGGTTCAAAACCTGTGCAGAAATTAAAATAAAGCCTTATATTTTATTTGACGAACCTGCCAGTTAAATCTCCTCCCTCGCATCTTGTCCCACGTATTATTGGAGTTAACCTTGCAAAGAAACTGCTGGTCACCACGTGCACTTTTAATTTAGCCTCACCATTCCCAAATAATCCTTTCAGCTGCTAATAGATCTGCTGTTTCCTTTTACCTCTCTCCTTCGGCCGCAGCACAGGGCTGGGGAGGAGGAGCCGTCCCCTCCCAGCTCTCCCCAGCCGACGTGGTGGCAGATTTCCCCGCTGATGTTGAATCCCAAGAATGGCCAGATGCTCTGAGATGACTCCAGTTTACTTCATCCCCACAAAGAGATGCTACTGAATGTTCTTTCCCTTTTTTTAGCTGATTTGGGCTGAAACCAAGAGGCTGAACAAGGCGACAGATGCGGTGGAGAAAAGGGGACCGTACATCATGAGCAAGCCTCCCTCCATTCACACCAAGCTCCGTAAGTGATGCTCAGTGTCGTCCCAGGGACTCTCCCAGGATTTGGGGAGGCACCCGTGCCTCATGCCCAGGGCGGGAGTGACCAAAAGCCTTTTTATCCCTTGGTGGGATAAAATAATAATAAAAAAACCTTGCATTAAAAAAAAAAAAAAAAAAAAACAACAACATAAAACCCCATAGATGCTGCCTATGGAAAGCACTGCAGCGCCCCCATGCTCTCCTTAGGACTGACCTGCAGTGCCTCCCCCTCCCCAGCCCCTCCCCAGAAAAGACCCTGGAGGAGTGGTTGGGTATTTCTAGCTCTGCCCCTGTGCTTGGCTTTCAGAGAGGCAGCGCGAGATGGCGAAGGCAGCGCTGCGAAGGCAGGGGCTGCTGGGGGGACCCGCGCCACACCAGCTGAAGCCGGCGGCTAAAAGGTCTGATCTCGTTTTTCTTTTCCCCGAGATGTATTTTCACATGCCTTGGGGTGAGTGGGGAACTCGGAGGATTTAAAAACTGAGCCTGGGACCTTAATCTGCTGGTTCTGTTGTGGCCCGCAAGCATCCAATGTAATAAAAGATAGCGCTTTTCCTGCAAAAGTTAGGAGTTGCTCTGAGAAGGGCCACGCTGCTGCTTCTCTTTGGTTTGGGGTGGTTTGGTGTTAAGGATTTAATCGGGTTGCCTAGAGGTTAGGTGGAGTTCATTCTTAGCTGGTGGTGGCTCTGGATGATGCCTGGGTGGGAAGGGACGTTCAGGACGGGGATTCCTGCCCCGGCCAGTTCTGTGGCTGCATTTTCACATCAAAATCCATGTCACGGGCTTGCTCCTCTGCTTTCCGGCAGGTCGGTGAAGTTTAACAAGGGCTACACAGCGCTCAGCCAGACGGCGGATGAAAACCTGGTCTCCCTCGATTCGGACAGGTGGGGACCGGATGAATATCCCAGGATTTTGGGGTGGGGAGTGTTGCAGGCTCAGAGCTGGCTTTTGGGGGGATTGATTTTCATTGTTACTTGTAGAGCATCCCTCAACTGCACTGGGCACCTCTTAGCAGCCAAACGCTCCCGTTGTCCCAGATTTAACAGATCCCTTGGGGTTACACTGCCGGCTCCCCTTTTCCCCTCCCCGAGATTCCCTTGTCTGCATCCCGAGCAAACACACCGCTTCTCAGCTGGCTGTGACTTTTTCCTTCTTCTCTTAGTGACGGGGAGCTGGGATCCAGATGTTCCTCAGGATATTCCTCAGCTGAGGCAAGTCCAGAGGTTTGACCCTGACGGCGCGGTCCCCGCGGGTCCCCTTGGCCCTGTTACACCTCGGGGTCTGTATAGGGGCTGGGACGAAGCATCACCCTATGGGGTGTGTATGTGTGTGTCCCTCCTGCAGAGCTCTGCTTTGCAAACTGCTGCCTCTGCGGCCTGATACATTTAAGCCACGCATAAAGGCCCCTTTTGCAGGCCCCAGCTGGCTGTCACTGCTTCACCTTTTGTACTTGAAGCGTTGGCTACCCCCAGACCCTGCAGCAGGGCAGCTGAAGAGCTCCATCATCCAAGGGTGTCGCAGCCTACGGGGTGTTTTGGGATGCACGGGGTGTGTGTTGGGGTGCTGCAGCCCAGGAAAAGCTCCATGGACTTTTGCCTTCATCTTCTCCGCTCTGGCTGTGCTGCTTCTCACCATGCAAAGCCGTTGGAGGGAGGACACGATGCCCTTCTTGCTCACAGGCCTACCCTTTGCAAGCCCTGGGACATAAATTTTATCTAAAGTGGGACTAATTTTAACCAGCTCTGCCTCCTTTGTGCCCCCACCAGCAGGTGAACCAGGACCTGAGTCGGCAGCTGCTGCAGGACGGGTACCACCTTGACGAGGTCCCTGACGATGAAGATCTGGATCTCATCCCCCCAAAACCCATCACCTCCTCTTCTTGCCCCTGTTGTTTCGGAGAAAATCTCTCCTGTGTGATCCAGTAGACGCTGCTTGGCCGGGGCCGTGCAAAAACAGGTCAAAACCCAGCACTTTCTTTGTCCTGTGGGATGGCTGTTGGTGTCCGTGTCCCACACTGGGATGGTGACACAAGGACTGAATGACGCTGCGATGCCGCTCGTGGTGAGCAGCACCAACCAACCAACTCCAAAGGACTTTTCCTTACACTCAGCAATATCAGGGAGAGGTGGCAAGGTGACGTTTAAGTGGCCCGGATGGGACCTGTCGCCTGGCTGGGGTGGGGAGGGAGGAGGGGCAGAGCCCGGACACCTCCGTGGGGATGTAAAGGGAGGGAATTGGGAGGTGCAGCAGCAAATGCTCTTGGGTTTGCCTGACCTCCTCTTTTCCTCCTTTAATTGGCCACGTCAAGGATTAGGACCTGGCCCTGGACACGGGTTGCCTTTCCCAGCCCTCCCTAATGAAGAGGTGGTTGACGGTGGGGTCGGACTGCCGTGGTGTGGGACCGGGCTGGCAAGCCCCGAGACCCCTTTTTTATTTATTTTTGCTTTAATCACCCCTCCTCCCTGGCTGGCTGAGGCCAAGCCAGCGAGGCTGGGGTCAGCACAGGCTGGCAGAGAGCTGCTTCATTTACCTATCTCATGCTGCTTGCAATTAATTGCTGCCGGGTTCCCTCCTCCCAAAGCCTGGGCTGATCTGCACCAAAGATTGCAGCTCCAGTGGGCAAGATGGGGGGAACCCAATGGAGCGGATTGGGGCAGGCTGCTGAGCTTTAAGTGTCTGCATTTGTCATATCCACCAGCAGCTGCTGCTGGGGCTGGGACCTCCCTGCTTTCTGCCGCTCAAGGGACCCGTTCTGGGTCGGGAGCTCATGGCTTGTTCCAGTTCTCCCCAAAGCTGCTTTGGTGCAGGCGAGGGGCAGCCCAGACCCCCTGTGCCAGCTCTGCACAGCTCCTTTTGGGTGCAGATTTGGGGTGGCTGGGGGGAAGTCTACCTGCTGTGAACCGTAAAAGCTGCCTTAAATCATGGTCCTGCTCTACTACATAAAGGACAATCCGCTCCTTATAAAGAAACCTTATTTAAATATTTATGTCTAGAGCCCTGAACTGTTGTTTTGGGGTGGTGTGTTTTGTTTTGTTTGTTTTTTTTTTTTTTTTTTTGTATTGTTAAAGGGAGCACTCAATAAACTGAATCTCGTTACTCAGAGGGTGTGTTGGTGCTGTGGCAGGGGGCTGAGCCCTGCTCCCCCCAGCAGCCCTGCTCGGGAGGGCTCCTGACCCCAGTGCAATTTCAGAGCGATTTGGTTTCCCTGATCGCATTTTACCCCGGTGTCCTGTTTGGAGCTGCCGTGTCACCCGGGCTGATGCTGCCACGGGGCGATGTGGGGAAGGTCGCAGCCGGTGCTGGGGGGGGGGATGCCGGAGCTGCCCCCAGCCTCCTCCACTCCTCGTGCCCTGCAAACACCAGAGCTTCTCCCCATCCTCCTTCTGCTCCCTACACCACGCTGAGGACAAAGTCATCACTTTATTCACAGCACTGGAAGCCCTTCAGCTCCGTCACCCACCCCAGGCAGCCCCCCCTTTACAGCTGGGAAAGGGGTGACACGGCTCAGAGGACTGCCTGCCAGCAGCCAGGCTCGGGAAGAGCCCGCCAGGCTCCCAGGAGCAGCAGAAAGCCTCAGGATCACATTCACAGGAGGGAGCAGCAGCTCCTAGGAGCCGGGCAGAGATGCTCGAGACCTGAGGTGCAGACCTCAGGCTTCCCTGCTGCTTCTCGGTGAGAAGGAAGGGGGAAAAAAAAATAATAACAGGAGTTGCCATATGGTACTGGCAGCAGCCAGGGGGGATGATGCTACAGGGACGTGGCTAACAAGCTGCGAGAGGAGATGCTCTTCCTCTGCCTGCTCTGCTCTGTGCCACATCCAGGGAGTCGATTTGTGGAATTGCTCTTTCTATACATTGGGTGTGGGCTGGTTTTTGGGGTTTAATAGATGGCAGGGAAACTTCCAAGCGAGATGACTTTGCCCAGGCCAGTTTCTATCTACTCAAATGTGGAGTGATGGCAGGGAAGCGTCCTGGGTCCTGCTCAGAGCAGGCAGCAGGCTCGGAAGAGCAGCATCCCATCCGGCGAGGAGAGGTGGAGGGAGATACTCTCGTTAGCGGAGATGAAGAGCACAGAGCCACGACGCAGAGTCATTTCCGAGGCTGCGGCTGTGGAGGTGCCCACGGCCATCCCTTGGATCACCAGCAAGATGCTGGCAGAGTCCACGGCGGAGACGAGGTACAGCTTGATGGAGGGGGGGATCTGCAATGCAATCACCACAGCTTGAGCCTCCCCCAGCTTTTCTTCTCTTTGGAGAGGTGGAAGGGGGTCATCCCCATTCCCACCCTGCTGCAGCCTTTGCTGTGCCCAGGCCACCCTGTGCTTCCAGCAACCCAAACCCAGGGACCTTGGCTTAACTGAGGACACTCAAGCTGCCCCCACGAGACCTCCTCCTGGTCCTCCCTCTGCCCGGATCTGCTGGAGGAGGTGAGTGAGCTCTAGGCAGGGGGAACAGGCAAGGGAGAAAAGCCAGCAGTGCTGCCTGGGGGTGACACAAGCATCCCCAAACACCCCTCCATCCTCGCTGGGGCACCGGCTACAAGGGCGAGCAAACCCACGCCAAGAAAACCCCAGCCAACACCGAGATGTCCTCCTGAGGGCACAGCCGAGACGGGAGGAAGCTGGTGTCCCCCCGACTCCGTGTCCCCAAAGCGGACCTGCCGCCGCTCACCTCTATCCTCATGATGGCAAAGTCTGGCACAGGCGGGTCGTAGAGGTAGATGCTGGGGTCGAGCTGGCTCTGCGCCGCCGGGAAGATCTTGGAGCTGCTGGGTGCCGGCGTGTAGTTGAGCATCTCGCACAAGGTGAGGACGTCGATGAATTTGGGGGTGAGCCCAGCGCGTACCGTGTTATCCGAGCACGCCATGCACTCCACGCAGTCTGCGGGGATGGGGCAGCACTGTCAGCCCCCCCCCAGCCCTCCCACATGTCCTGGGGCACTGGGAGGTGTGTGGGGGGGGGGTGTCCAAGGTTGTGCAGCTGACCGTGGCCACCCTGGGGGGACAGTCCTTGCGGGGTCCTGGGTTAGGAAAGCCCAGCACAGTGCTCACCTCCATGCAGGTAGGCGTGGGGCTCGTTGGCTCCCAGGAACATGGCTTCCCCTGGCTCCAGCCTCACCAGGTTGAGGAAATAAATGGTGAAGCAGCCGATGTCTCCCGGGTACTGGGAGTGCAGCCGCAGCAGCAGGTCCCCGTTGCTCCCCGACGTGTCCTTCCCTTCTGCCGCTGCGTGGGCAGAGACCAGGCGCAACGCTGGGGAGGGAGCTGGGGCAGGGGCGCCCTGTCCCCTCCCCTAAACACAGCCCCCCCCAACCATTCTGGGGGGCCACGGCGAGCAGAGACGACCCACCTTCCTGGGAGATCCTCTTCACCAGCATGTTCAGCTGGTCGACGAAGAACTTCTTCTCGCTCTTCATCAGGCGGGTGAAGCAGACGCGGAGGGCGGCCGAGACGCCGCGGGGGTCGTCGCTCCCGCTGCGCTCCAGCTGCTCCGCCGCCACCTCCCCGATCAGCGCCCGCAGCTCGGGGACGTCTGCCGGGGTGGCCAAGTCCCAGTCACCCCCAGTGGCTGCCACCACGGGGGGGACCCCGCACCCCCCCCACCCCACCTTGAGGCAGCCCAGCCACCGTCCCCACGCCGAACCCAGCGCAGGGGAGGGAAGGTGGCACGGGGGTCTGACCTCGCTCCCTCCCTCCCTCCCTCCCTCCCTCCCTCCCTCCCTCCCTCCCTCGCTGTCCTTACTCTGGAGGAAGGCGACGATCTCCTCCACCGGCCGAAAGCCGCACAAGCCCTCGAAGGGGGTGAGAGCGATGGCCATTTCGGGCTTGTGGTTGGCATCAGGGTAGTGCTCGGGGAATTGGGCGTGCAGCTTCGCCGCCAGCTCCTGGAGAGGGAGGCAGAGGAGCTGGGTGACGTCCCCAGGGACAGGGGGTCCGGCCGGGGCTGCCCCCCCTGGGGCTCTCCCTACCTTGTTGGGGTGCGCCTGGATGGAGAGGGCAGTGTTGACCGACAACACCTTGAAGAGGAAGGGCAGGTGACCCTGGAAGGCGTCCTTCACCTTCGCCCCCAGGCAGGCGGGGTTGTCGGCGATCCACTGGCCCAGGGTCTTTTGGGGGATGCGGTTATCCAGGATGATGGCGTCACCCCGGGGGTGCGTGCCCATCCAGAGCTGCGGGAGACAGACAGACAGACAGGCGGACCCCTGAGCCGGGCAGCCAACGGGGATGACTTGGGCTTTTCTCGAGGCTGCTTGGCCCCGGAGGCAATCGATTCGGGCCAAGGCAGCTCCTTCGGGGGCTGAGTCATGCCGGGCTTCTCCTCTCCTCCCGCCCTGGGCAGCCCCGCAGCCCCCCGGGGCTATAGGGGACCGGGGACAGGCAGGGCACCCGCATCCCTCCCTGAGCCGGCTGGACCCGGGACGGCGAGAGCTGTAGCTGGTTGGGATGGATGCACAGACGGGACGGACGCATGGCCGGGCTCTCACCTCTGCGTAGGGCTGGCTGGGCTGGATCTGGACCAGGGGGTCGCTGCTGGCCACCAGTTTGGCCACCTCGCTCTCCAGCCCCACCTTCCCCCAGGCGTAGCTCTGCACGGCACAGGAGAGGGGGAACACTGCGGGAGGGAAGCCAGACATTATGGGGGAGAAGAGGGGCAGAAATAACCCCCCCAAACTCACCCGGGCACCCCGGTGGTGCGGCAGGCAGCCCTACGCCCTCAGGTGTGGGGTGGCTGGGGGCCAGGGCAGGTTGGGAAGCGACAGCTTTGGCAGGGGGGTGACCTGCCCACCCGAGGGTCCCCATCCCCACGGGGCGGGGATCCCACCCCACTGGGGACAGCCTGCGGGCCCGGGGTCCCCCCAGGGGGGGTGGCCTGTCACCCCCCCACCACCACCAATCCCCCGGGCCCTGCTCACCGCGGATCTCCGCCATGGCTGGGCCGGCACGGCAGGGCAGGCCGGGAGCCGTAGTCCCGC